AAAAAAAAAAAAAAGAGAGAAAAAGCACAAAGAATGGCTGGACGTGTGGTGGAGAACAAGAAAGAGAGATCTATGCCACTGGCATGTGGAATGTTCTATATATACGCTCTCTTGTCTATAATACCCAAGCGACCCGAGACAAGAAAGACTCCACTCCTTCTACGAAAACGAGATGCGAGGACCAGGAGACCCGGCATATTAAAGTCGTCGGGGCAGTTCCCCAAAGGGGTGTGGATATGAGACTGGAGAACATGGGGTAGATGAATTCTATGGATGGGTAGAGGGACACTGATCAGCATGAATCGCATAAACGGACAGGACAGGCTGAGAGAAGACCAGGATCTACGAGTTCCAAACATACGCAGCGGGTGATGTTCAGGCACAGGAGCAGGCTTAGTGGATGGTTTGACACGATGGACTCTCAGAGGCTGCAGCTAGACAGCGGCATAGACCAACTCTACAGGGGTATGAGAGACGCTACGGTCAGGAACAGACTTGTTCACTGCGGATTCGTCCTCTCTCTGGTTCTCGACCAAGAGCTTTACCTTGCGCGAGGTCAAGCCTTGCCAGGATGATCAGCTGCAGTATCAGTACCACCAACGACAACAAAGCTTCTGCTATACAACCAGACAACACATTCCTCGTCCTTCTAACATCAACCTCATGCCGCATGAAGCCATCAGCTTAAAAGAGACAGCGGGTGTGGCGATGTTCAAGCCGGGGCTAAGAACTAGTGTATCGGAAATAATACCAGGGGCAGCAATTATGGATTTTGCCCACTAACCAATGTCAACCCTGTATAGGACAGACCTAGCGATAGAGATTCGGAGATGAGCTAAATGACATGACTCTCTGTTGCTTTTCTTCAGCTGTTTAATAAAACGACACAATTACACTACATACATACAGTCGTGATGTTGAGCGCTTAATGGTGATGAGAGCGAATTGTCTCGAACCGAGAACATGGGTGCTGCTTGGTTCTTGGCAGCAACTTGAAACAAAAGGGCAGAGAATCATTAACCAACGAGGTAAGGCAACCTACGCGGCTCAAGATAGGAGGTTAAGGTGTCAGGGATTAAGCGTCCACTAAGAGCAGGGTCAGGCTTAGTATGGTCTGGGACATTCGTTGGCATGATTTTGAGAGGAACAAAAGGAAAAGATGTTATAGCATTGTACAAGTCTTCTCTTCTTGGAAGTTTCACTTGGTTTCTTGGTGGTTGAGTTAAGGTGGCGGCAGTATTTTTTAGTAAGACCAACTTATCGTGCAGGGCTATCTGTTCGTAGCTTTCTGATGTGACACTTCTCTTACTATTTTGAGCATGGCGCCATCGGTTTTCTATTTCTTGCTACCCTAGGACAACGAGATTGAGTTTCCGCTACGGTAAATCATCAACGAGAATCTACGAACCGAAAGGTTAAATACTCAAGAGAAAGGCACTTAAAGAATCAATTGTAGAGGTTGTATATACTTTTCATCTGTTTATTAGAATGTGTTCGTAGGGTACTATGGAGACACCAATTAGAATCTGACACCATGTGTTTCATGATTCTTGTAGTAGTGAGGCCAACCACGATCCAAGAGCCGTCGATATGTGATCAATTAATAGCCTGCCAAGCATCATGCACTGACAGCTGAACCTGATTTCTCGCTCCACTGATCTGCCTTTTGTTCCTCGAATGTTGAGCTCCTCCATAGTTCAAACCCGCTGGCTGCTTGTCCTTCGTATTGATAGTAGCTATATCTGTGCGAAGAGGATCCGACATTTTGGTTCTGCTGCCAAGCGACCCTTGATCAATGCTCAAAGACTGACCTTTCAGCTGTCGTATCCGTGCATAGGACATAGGCCAGCCTGAAACTACCCAATTCAGCCCGGCTGTTTGGATAGTCGTTGCACCTGAGCTGCCAAAAGATAGCGCTGCCTTGTGTATCCGTAATTGTGGCTTTTCAAAATAGCTTCAGTCAGCTGACATTTGAATCGGTTCCAAATCCCCGAGCCTCTCGTTAAGCTGTACGATTGTCCTTTCAAAGACACGCGCCGCATCGAGCTGCATCATCATTTCATCGTCGTCTTCCACGCTGCCCCATCCCTTAATTGCTGGTGTCTCCATGTCCATGTCCGTATCTGTATCTGTGTCTCCCCCTTCATCCTCATCCTCCTCGTCTTCTTCCGCAGGGTCCCTCATCACTTCAACCATCAACACGCGACATTGGTCAACCAGACTTCGGCATCTGATCATCTCGGTAGTTGTCATACCGCCGCGAAGTCCGTTCTCAAAACCCGGTAGTGTCTCATGAGTTTCAACATCTTGACCTGAAAGAAGGCTAGCAAAACAGTGATCCAATTTGCGCAAAATGGCGAATGAAGCTTTTGGTGCTGGTGGGAAGCCCCGGACGTATCGAGTAAAGTCACTCGTGAGACGTAGCAAGAAGGGTATTTGTAATGTTGCTGCAAATCTTCATTAGTGACAAAATTGTATTGAGATTCAGGGTAACCCACGAGTGCCTGAGCGCCACAACACATTAATGACGCTATCCAAGTCTTTGCAGACCTCACCGAACCTCTTATATCCCACAACTGAATCATCTGGCTCAGCGTTGCCAAACTTCTTGACGTAACGTCGCGTTGCTAACAACAGCTGCTCTTCAGCATATCTTCGAACCATGAACTCCTTGCTGGAATTTGGCTTTAATGCTTTATTTCTTGGTGCAGGAAGACCTTGGATGTTATTTGCATAAGATGAGGCTGTTGATGGCGCGGGTGACGGAAGGCCACCAGTTGTCGGCAAGAAGCCTCCTGGTCCTGGTGATTCCATTCTGGTAGAATATTTTTTGCTATTCCGTAGCTGAATAAGCGGGTTGGTGGGTGAAATTGAAGTAATGTGGTTCTTTATTCTCAAGTCGAGTCACTCTTATATGTAGTCTTCAAGTACAGAGTGCTAATGTTGTTTATGTTAACGTCAAGACAGAATTTCAGGCTGCACTTATATGCTTCCAAGCTCAGGATCAGTTGGTAATACTGACAGGGATATAAGTATGGCTATACGATGATAAAGAAACGATTACATTGATTGATAACACTGCGATAACAAGATGACAAAGGCCGTGAAGTCCTGGTGATGCTCTGTCATGGTGGGGCAGCAAGTGCCACTCCCACTGGACCTCACTACCACCACTTTCGTCACTCTGGAAGCGCATATCATGTGACCTTATCCGCGCTATCAGAGAAAGCTTCAGTTAAGCTGTATCCGAAAATTTCCCTCGAAATCAACGACGACGTCAACAACCTCACTCACGCCGCGCATACGCATTCTTTCGACCCACCAGGTCCCTACGAATTCCCACACGAAGCCAATTTCAAATTTATCACAATGCCCCCCAAGCGCATCGTTGTTGAGCCTCGATCCCGCCGTGCTCCCAAGGGTGTTATCGGCTCCACCTATGACGCTCTTACCTCGTCCGAGAACGCCGCTGTCGTCCGCAGCATCGCTATCTTTGGTGTATGTTTGGTCTCGATCTACTCTCGCATGAGAGGGGATCCAATGGAAGTGTGCTGATCAAGTGGAATAGGTTGTTGTGACATTCCTGTCCAGCTCTTGGGGCGAGATCCTTCTGCCTCCGTAAGTCGACACTGCGACCACCAGACCCTCAAAGAATATCGAGTTGACCTCTTGACAGCCAGTAAATGACGCCGCAACGATACGGGACCAGGGAATTTGAAAGGGAAGGATGTTCATCAAAAGTTGGGAATGCGCCAACAACCGCCTCCCCTCTGTGCATTATTTAATCGAATCGCTTGTACATTAGTTGGAGTCAGTGTACGTTTTAGAAGATGGGATTTTAAGGTCAGCCTGTGCCTATAGAAAGGCATTATGATATGGGCTGCATAGAAATCGACATGATCAACACTCACGGACTGGACATGACAAAACGTCTCTATTATCTTTCCAAAGCGACTGATTTCTGCGTGCTTTCACTTAATTCGGCTGGAAATGCGCATGATTGGTGTGTGGGAGCGATGTTGATAAAGACGGATCGCGACTTCCCCGTCAGTTCTTTATTGAGAACCGGGGCGCTCCTGCCATCCATGCCAAAGCCTCATGATATTCAACTACCACATTGCAGACGTATTTGTTGTTTCTACAATGTTATCATAGGCAGAGTTCAACCACATCCTTTGAGCAGATTTTGAAGGCATCAACACCAACACTTTCTCTTCGTTTCAAGTATTAACGACGTGATCTATCCAACCAGTATTACCACCCCAATTCTAGGACGGATCTGGAGTTTCTGTTTCTGTTAGAACAACATGACCTCGCCGCGTAAGATTATATCTGAAAACTCAGACACTCGCAGCCCGGCTAGTAGTAGACTGGCCCAGCTTGTCTCCAAGTTCGAGTTCCTCGATGCTGTGGCCTCGGTTGGCAATTCGCCTCATGCATCGCCAAACTCCAAACTTGTCACCGCCATCAGTCATCCTTCTGTAGTCGGGTTGACTGCGTCGAAAACACCAAAGCGGAAGTCTCAAGGATCGACAATTACACGAGAGAGAAGCTCAATCGACAGTCGTTTCTCACCCGTTCGCTTTGCCACTTCGAGCTTGGAGCCTGCCCTCACTCGTCGGGCACAAACCTTTGGAACTAAATCGCCTATAGTCCCGATCAGCAATGCTGATACAAAATCGAGACAAAAGTCTGTTGCCGAAAGGAGGATGATATTCGAGGCAACAAGTGAGCAGCCCGGTAAGCATGGCGCTGGCTCGATCCCATTATGCATTTATTGACGGGGTACACAGAACCATCAACCCCTCGAGGAGGGTCTTTGATCCCTAGGCCACCATTACAATTGGCGCACTGGAAAAGCTGGCGGTCGCTCAAGAGCAAACGATCCGCTGCTCATTCCTCCACGGACAATGCTGCTGTTACCCCTGAGTCGACCGGCAACGAATTAAGGACACCTTCGAAGCCACTCTCCCCGGCACCCCAACCTGTCCCTTCGCCGCGGACTCTTCTCTCTTCTGACGATCCTTTTGGCACATGGAGATCGCCTTTAAACCGATCTGATGATTCGTGGGCGTCCTTCAAGCGAAGTTACTATGTGAAGGCTGCACCGGATGCAAGCCCAAGCTACATCCGATCTCAGTACACAGAGGCATCGCCACAAGTAGATCAGAGGGTATCGATACACGAGGCTAAATTCAATTCCCTGGTGGAAAATGATCTTGCGGAAAGGAACCTCTCAATAGGGGAGAACCGAAACCATGGATGGATGGATCATGCTCGAAAGATGGCTTCTTCATTTTCCAACACAGTATCGGGCGGAACCTCAAGTCACCGAAACAAATATGTTGGAACTCTTGGTGCCTTTGACCAGATCCCTATCAACAAGAATGATCTCATGTCTTTCAAATTGACAGGTACAAGTGACACGGATCGTTCGAAGCTGCCACATTCCAAAATCTCAGGTCTTCGAAAGAGATTTGGCCAGTCAAAGGAACAGCCGTCGGTTGCATTTGCTTCTGCTGACAATGAATGCCAAGAATCAGCTCCGACAGAAACTGGGTCGCCAATCTCACCATCGAGAATCCCACTACTGAAGTCGTGCAGTTCTACAGAGTCGGAAGAATTGAAGACATCAACGCTTAGGTCTAAAAGTTACGCCCCGTACCGAAGTCAGTCTTTCTTGAAACCACTTCACACTCCTGTCAGACGTCGGAACACTGAGAAGAATGACTCGCCTTTGCAACAAAAGATTAGTCTTTTCGAGTCGCTGGACCACCATAATTCAGTTCCCGAGCCTCTCCGCACGACTACCGACACACGCAATTTTCGTACCAACTCTGGTGAGCATGGACGAAAGGATTCTACCATAGCCCCTCTTAGATCATTCCGAGGCAAGTTACGGCGGATATCTACGTCCTGTCGAAGGACACCATCGGAATGGAGCACCACGAGCTCGAGAGACGTCGGTGACTCCGTGTTGCGAAGTTCTGATACCAGTCCGGTGGCGCAAGAAGAACAGGCTGCAACAGTAGCTGGCGAAGCATTGTCACCTTGCACCACTGATGTTATCCCGATACAGCCTATTCTTAAACAAACGTTTCTTACCAATGAGATTTCACCTCTAGTGCTAGAAAAGCCTTTGTCTTTCTCTCGAGCGCCCAGTGCCCGACCGGGCTTCAACATGGATGGCGAGGCTGGACTGGGTGTAGCGCCCCTTCCTTTGTTTGCCGAACCTCAAAGGCGGTTCTCTCGTACGAAGAATATACTTGCTCGGGCTGCCAACCAACTTTCCCTTCCAGATATTGAGAAAGAACTTGAGCTAATTGAACTCCTTGAGGACAATCTCAAGAGTGTTTCTGACGATAGCCTTCCCGTCTCAAAGGCACGTTGCTTGCTGGAACAACCCAAGCCAATGAATGGGAAAGAGCTGAAACGACTTGTCAGTTTGTGTAAGGAGAAAGTCAGAAAGATTTCTGGTGGCCGTAGCGAATAGATAAATGCCTCATTGTACAAATCCTGTCAAGATGAACGAGTAAATCATTGGGTATGGTATCTTGGTGCGACTCGGGCTTAGATGGTAGCTGTTATACAGTATACAAGTCATTCAGTCAGATCGCACTCATCATTGTCTCATTTGCCACTGACGAAAGTCAGCTCCGGGTTGATTTTCAACATCACAAATGGTGAAGACGGAATGGTTGTCAATCTGATGTATTCAGCGCTCAGTGCGCTTGACTTGACTACCTAGGTATCTTCCAACTAATAAAAAGCAACACTATGAATATTATCCTTGATTAGAAACCATGCGAGCCAGTAATGAAATAAACAATGAAAGTAAAATCCGAGGTGTCTCGAGGTATCTCGAGCGTCAACGGTATGGTTGGGGTATCAAGGCTCTTCGCTTGAGGAAAAAAATGGAATCAATGTGCAACTGAAGATTTGCCGATACGCCGCGCTAGATGTTGGTGTTTTGGTTCTGAGCACTTTGCTCGAAACATGTAGAATGCTTAACTCCGAAATGCGACTTTTGGTGAGTGGAAAGGGAATGTTGTGTTGTACACCGCTTAAAGAGGAGGCTGGATTCGCTCCTCGCGTTGAAGAAAGGCTCTGTCCACACGGACATGGTGATCAGTCTCGGCGTCTATCTTGGCGAGCTCCACGTCTTGAGGATTGATGTGCTCGCGAGATGATGTACCGGCCTCACAGCGGGCGTAGATCGAGACGTGAGGTCTGTCAGTGGTGCCAGTACTAAAGCTGGGTGCTTTGAAGCCTGTGAAGGAGCTGGGTCCGCTGATGCCGTAGCGGGCTCCGCTTGAGGCACCGGATGAGTTGGCGCTGTTGGGAGCGCTGCCGGCGATACGCTGGGCGGCGAGAGTGCCTAGTGGGAGAATCACGGCGACGGATGTGAGAGTGAGGGATGCTGACTCAAAATTTACGAAGTGAGCCCATTCGAGTGAAGCAAAAATGACTGCAACCGGTTAGCTTTGTGGTCTTCAAGGGAGTATGACCACAGAGTACAAACCTGGAATGAACATCAAGATACCGTTGGTCATGACGAGAACTTCCATGGGACTGAATGTCTTGTAGGACGGGAGGATGCCTCGGTTCGAGATGAGATGCCAGATGAGCTTGATGTTGAAGATAGCACACCACCATGAGATAGAGGCAACGTTCATGATGACTGCCCACTTAATGAGCCAAAACATGTGGTACGCCGGCTCCAGCGTGAGAACTGCGTTGTTCTGAATGATGGTGTTTGCGAGCCTAACACTGATAGCCATGATATACACAACGAGTGACATCCCAGCAATGATGTACTTCCACACGTTGGGCCACAGTCGGACCATTGTCCACGCCTGGCTCATGAGCATTGACTCAATAGAGATGACGAGACAGAGAGACATGGTGTTGCCGGCCACAGAGGGAGCGTAAGCGCTGCGAGGAATGCGACTATGGTCGTCGCCCCAGAAAACGTAAAAGTCGAGAAATTGCGATGAGTGGAAGATGCTAAGCAATAGCATTCGACAGGAGGCAAGGACAAGACTGATGACCTGGAGAATCATGAAGGGCCTTCGGAACCTTTCCTTGGGGACCATGACGAGGATCACGACCAGCATGATGAGACAGGCTCCGAGTTGTGCAGCATAGTTGATAGTCATGCTGACCATCCTGTGACGCATCTCGTCAATGGCAACTAGAGGGATGCTGATTTCCGTCTTGCCATCGGGGGCGAAGAAGGTTACGTTCTGGGTGAACGGGTCGAAGGCTTCTTCCGACATGGTACCTGCTTATCGAAAGACAGTTGAAGAAGGCGATATAGAGAAGATAAGTGAGGGTTGTTGGCGGTAGAATGACTACCGAATGGCAAGGAAAGGATAGTTCAAGAAGCCGCAGTGAACGGAGATACGAGAGGTCTGAGCTCAAGATATATATGGTAAAAGACACGGGAGCTGTTTGAGATGTTCTTGGTTTAACAAGCTGTGACAGGGGAAGATTGACGTTGGAGAGATGAGCAAGTGGCAACATGGTCAAGGAATCACAAGAAGAGGAAAGCCAAGATTAGTACAGGCGAGAACGGTCTTGAAGACAAACACTAGTCTATCTAGTCAGGATATTGTCAGCGGTGGGAAGAATGTGAGTAAGTGAAGTGAGATAAATGCATTTCAAAGAAGGTATCACATCACATCAATCAACTAAGAATGCCAAGGACGGTGGGGAGAGGCTGGCCTTAGTATTGTTCTTGCATTTTGTGGCGCTGGAGGCTTAGTATTGTTCTTTGGCCCGCTAGGCTCGTTCGGATTGATTGCTGCTCAGGGATCGATCCGTGCATATCTTGACAGGTCGAGAGCCTCCGATGGGCGTACTCTAACGGCCATGGCAAATGCAAGCTGTATGGCTAAACAGATGATGGCTTCGCTTCTTTTTCCGGTTCCTGACTCCGTGCGCGTAAACTGTCGTAATGCAATGTGTATTTGAGACCAGGGGCCGTCCGCATTGGTCTCGATCGTCCAGACTATATCATCCTCCCGCGTGCCCCATCAGCCCAGATCGTTTTGGGACCTTTAAGCCGTGTTCATGGCTTCAAAATGTGAGATAGACTTCATGCGCCTCCAGCTAGCCGGTCGAACCGTCTTGATCGTCTGGTTTTGTTTCAAAAGCGAAGGGTGTCGTAATCCCCCTGCTGCTTGTCAGATCTCGCCAAGTGCCTGACACTGCCCTACATGCACAATCCTGGAGGCATACATGAACAATACCAAATCCACCCACTTGGCATGAGAGCTGCGTCGTTAATCCTTTCCCGTCTTTGATCATGCGGCAAGACCCATCCCCTGTCCAATCTTTCGTACTAATGCCTTCTTTAAATACCACTCTCTTGCAAGATGCCGTGTCATCTTTGCAAACACTGCAGGAGTGATGCGTCCGCGTTCAACAGCCCGGCCGAGCATAAATATAGCGTCACCGAGAGCTCGCTCTTCTGCCACTAGCGTGTAAAGCTGGTTTGCGACCACAGTGGGAGCTACGAGTAGCTCATCGACTTCCGGCACAGGGTGGCTCTTGGATCCCTCAATGACTGCATCCGCTTTATGAAGGGCATCGTGTAGAATATTAGAGTTCGACGTTAGTACATTAGAAAGCTGCGTCAATTGGCCGCCTTCAGCTTGGAAAGCAGGTATCGCTGACAACATTGCTGTTCTTTGTGCTTGTAAGCCAGCCATGCTTGAGTCGTTCTGCTGCCTGCTGCGCATTCTAATCGAGTACAGTGTCTGAGCCAACTGCCGTAAGAGCGCATCCTTCTCGGGATTGGGTGGGATCGGAGGTGCCGCTACTGTAGTATTGGGCAATGCTAGCTCTAAGGGCTCGTCAAGCAGATCAGGAGGTGGAGGTGGTTTCGCAGGACTTTGTTGTGGTGGAGCAGCTTGAGCCCATGTCGGCGGTTGTGGAGGTTGTTGATATTGCTGTTGCTGTAGTGGCATTTGCTGCCATTGTTGTTGAGATGAAGGCGTAAATGACTGTGTATCATTCATGTGTCTGGGTTGCGCCGCCATTGGCGGCCCAGCAGGAGGCATATGACGAGTCGGATACTGCTCTTGCGGACGAAGCATTCGCGGATCCTGCGCAGGCGGGCTCCTAACTTGGGGTGGTAGAGGAGGAGCTGAGTCGTAGCGTGACATGCGATTAGACTGCACGGGAGACTGTCCCGGAATTGGAGGCAATGGTGGCCCAGTTTGTGGTCGATTTTGCGCAGGAGATGCATTCTGAGGGGCTTTGGGGGGTGGAGGAGGAGGACGCGGCTGATCTGAAGAGTGCGGATCCTGTGTCGCAGGGCGTGAAGCCGGTCCCATACCAGGAGGCGGAGGCGGGACAGGAGGAGGTGTCGGAGTAGCATGCACAGGAGGTGGTCGAGCTTGCTGCGGTTGTCTAGCCACAACTGGGGGTTCTTTTGCGAAGACATCGGTCAGGATATTCAGAAAGTCGCGAAGATTGGACTTCTACACATCTTGTCAGCAACTTGCATCACCTATAGCTACGGCTTGGGCGGCAACGTACATCCCAGTATTCGGCCCATCCAACTAGGTAAGGATGATATACGAGACCCTGCGGATCAATGTGCTGTCCTGGTCGTATCATCATCGTCTCGGTCGGTACAACGTAGATCATAGGCGGCTCTCGTGGGTATGCGTGTGGTACCCATATTGATAAGGGGAACCGGTATGTAGTTCCGCGAAAGTTGACGGGGAGCGTCCCTGAGAGATGCAGCAGCAAGGCATTGGCCCCATTCGAAAAAGCTGGCAAGGTCAATCAATATTCGAATGCGACAGAACAGGTTGAGGTTAAAGCGTGAGCTTGTCGATAGCTCTAGTAGCTTTAATTATCACGTACTATGGACATCGGTTTTGGGCGACAAGGAAGAAAAGTGGTCTAGCGCTTGTGCGACATCATTATAAGCGCGGTTTACATCGTGATATTCCTATTGAGCGCGTTGATATTAGCCTTGGACTTGGTGATAGACGACAAGCGGGGAATCGTGAGGAGAGATACACACGCTGGTAAGGACGCTATAGAGCCAGTTCAGCACATGCTGTGGTACGGGCATCGTGTCGCTAACCCTGATATCGTGGGCCAATGTGCTGAAAGGTGAACAATGACGAAGGAGGAAGCTATTCCCATCCAATGTAGTTGACCTTGAAGGTCGTCGTAGCTTGCCTGGTTGGTGGTTCGTGCGTCTTTGACAACATCCACATGGAACCGACGTAATAGAGGTACGTACCACGCACCTTCCTAAAACGACCCGACCCGCGGATAGTGGGGGTGGGGGTTTAAGTCCTTGAAGTTTGAAGACGCAATTAATGCGATGTCTTGCATTTACATTTGATGATCCGAAGATCACAACTTAGGAAATAATCAAGCTCCTCATACCTAAACTATGAAACATTTTCTGAGGTGTATCATCTATTGAGACAACTTCAATGGATATTTGATCGAAATAAAGTAGTCTGACGACGAAGCGTGCAGGTCTCAAAATGGACTTGCATATATGCACCTTGACTTGGTATTTTTTAATCGTTTAACCTGAAAGATCATAGGCATTATCTGGATTAACGTGTTAGTTAATACCAATGGGTGGATAATCAGTCAAGAGACGGGGAGCCTTATTCTCACGATACTTGTTCCTCTACATCGGAAATAATACAGAAGCATTTGTCTATAGGGTAGTGCAGTACGGACGGACCATTCAGAGACTCTTTTCGCAACTAGACAATCTGCTGGTGTAGCATCAGATACAAACCTTAAATACTATCGAGCAAATACTTAAGTAACATAATATCAACACTCGTCCTTTCAAATTCTATCTCTTAATGCATATCTGAATGTTACAAATCAACATGCCGATGACGGAGCCATCAGACCACCCAACCCGGCCTCACGTCCGTGGAGAAGCCGGCACCTCCGTAACCTCTTTGGCACACTTGATTCCTCAACTGGAAGACCAGAGAATAAAAAAACTTGTTAGGCGCGCTAATTAAAACAGCGCCGCACTTGCGCGGCATCCAGATCGGTTCCATTTTTCTTTTCTTCTCAACTGTCCACTCAACCGAACCAGCCAATCATGGTCTTTGCTCAACCGTTTCGCCGCAAAGCTAGCACGAGAAAACATAGGAAGAGAGCAAGAGATGGAGAGTCATTTATAGAGGCGATAGTATGACTACAGTCTTTCCCCGGATTTTCTACCAGGCCATTCTTTTTGCTCTTTCTCCATCAACTCCATTCTTCCTTCAACTACCGGTCTTGGCTCTTTACTACCCCAGACTGTGAAAAGGCCGCCCCAGTGCGCTCTACTGAGTACCTATCTACCGGAACGGCCCCACTCTGCCGTCCCTCCGGTTGCCGGAAGCCGGCTCCTTATATTCTCTCATCTCCTGATTCTTTACGTTCCTTCATAAACGATTTACCCCTCTCACGCAACCCATAAACTCATAGAGAAAAGGAGGAAAAGAACTACAATCACAATGCTTCCTTCTATTCCTGTGCTGGCCGAGTATGGCATCTCTCCTACCCACGGCTTCCTTCCGGACACTCTACCATTAACTCGCCTACCGGATCCTTACTACAACAAATGGGAGGCTATCGCCGCCAACCTTCAGGCCCTCATTCTCAGTCGCAGGTTGCGTGGTGTTATTGACAGACTACCAATTCTCTCTACAATCGGCCTCGAACATGAGGCCGAGTGGCGCCGCGCCTATTCGCTACTAGGCTTTATGGCCCACGGATACATCTGGGGAGGTGATTCACCATCAGACCGCCTACCAGCGTCTATCTCAGTTCCCTTTCTGGAGATCTCAGCACACCTAGAAGTACCGCCAGTCGCCACCTATGCCGCTGTCTGTCTCTGGAACTTTAAACCGCTCTTCGTTGACGAGGACATTGATAACCTCGAGAACCTCGCCACTCTCAACACATACACCGGCGCCCTCGATGAATCATGGTTCTATCTTGTGTCGGTGGCTATTGAGGCTCGCGGAGCCCCAATTATTCCTCTTATGTTGACGGCTATCGCAGCTGCCCGCCATGGAGATACCGCGGCCGTCACTCGATGCCTGCGCACTTTCGCAGAGCGTCTAACAGATCTTACAAATATTCTCCAGAGGATGCATGAGAGCTGCGACCCAACTATCTTTTATCACCGTATCCGACCGTTCCTTGCTGGTAGCAAGAATATGGCAGAGGCTGGCCTCCCCAATGGTGTCATTTACGAAGATGGTTCTGGCGAGGAGAGTTACCGACAGTACAGTGGTGGTAGCAATGCTCAGAGCAGTTTGATACAGTTCTTTGACATCATTCTCGGCATTGAACACCGTCCTACGGGAGAGTCTCGCGACCCATCATCTGATAGCGATCGCGGTCGCGCTTCGCACCGACACAACTTCATCATGGAGATGAGACGCTACATGCCCGGACCTCATGCTCGATTCCTCAATGATGTATCCAGCGTTGCAAACATCCGCGAGTATGTCGAGGAGCACCAATCCGATAAGCAATTATGTCTCGCGTACGATGCATGCCTGGCTATGCTTAGTGCATTCCGAGATAAGCACATCAATATCGTCACCCGTTACATCATCAACCCATCAAAGCAAGTTCGTGCTCGCAGTCGCTCAAGGAGCCCTGAAGTGACCCGTAACAAGGTCAACCTCGCTATCGCGTCGCGTAAAAACAGGGATAACCAGAAGGGCACAGGTGGCACTGCATTGATTCCTTTCTTGAAACAAGCAAGGGACGAGACAGGCGAGCCTGCTGTTGAGGAGTGGACAAGACGCTTCATGAAGAGGAAAATGCATACCGAGGGTAAGAATGATTTCTTCCTTGGTAAGACTCTTCCAGACAATGTGAGCTTGACAGAAGATGTGGAAATCAAAGGTCTTGCTGGATCATGGACCATGGACGATGAGATTGGTGGTATCTGCTTATACTGAGTACCAGAAAAGTATTAAGAAATAGCCACGACTTAACGCATTTATTAGACGGCCATTTGGCTGGGAGTTTTTGGAACTTAATAGCAGCGTATATTGCCTGTCGTAGAATTCAACATAGGCATTAAGATATGCATTCATAGAAAACTTATTTCAATCTGAATTGTCAACACCCATCAAGATATCGGCAGAGGCGAATGTCACCGAAAACCAAGAAAAGGCACAAAACAATTGTCTCGACAAGTATGTCAATGGTTACAGCCAGTTCGTCACCGACATGAGGTTTCATAAATATATACGGAGAAGGCTAGATATGTACAACACGGGCCGAACACCGGGTCCAGGATGCCATGTTTTACAATGACAAGCCTGCCCAAAAGAGAAGACCCCTTTCGAGAGACCTGCTACGGTCTCTCCTCCACATCCACATCAACCTCGTGGATCTACCACTTAGTTGGGGACACACTGAGAGTAGTAATCGTTCATCTTGACACACTTGCTTCCGGAAGCGCAAGGGAGGTTGCCATCGGGGTAGGCGGACTTGGAGCCACCGCACTGGTAGTACATAGCGACAGCAGACTTCTGAGGAGCAGCGAGCTTGGTAGGCTTGGTGGCAGAACAACTTTTGTGAGTCTTGGTTCCACCGACCTTTGAGGTTGACTTGGGCTTGTTGACAACCTTGGTGGGGTTCGCGGCGGCAGGCTTGGAGACAGCAGGCTTGGAAACAACCGGCTTGGGAACAACAGGCTCAGAGGCGGGCTTAGTAGCAGCCGGCTTCTCAGAAGCCTTGGTAGAAGGCTTCTGAACAACAGGGACAGCCTGCTCGGTCTTCTGAGGCTGAGAAGCAGCAGTAGTCTTCTTACCACTGGGCTTGGCCTTGCTGGGTGTGGTGTTGCCACTGAAGGCAGGGAAGCTGGAATCGTCGTCACGCTTGCAACCACTAATGGCAAGGAGTTCCTTGGGGCACTGGACCTGCTCGAAGGTGAAGTCAGGATTATCGGCGTTCTTGAACCAGTCAAATCGCCAGTGGCACCCATCCTTGAGCAGCTCGGGGAAGTTATCACATTCGTTTCGAGAGGAGATGCCGCCGTACTGGGCACCACCGAGGGCCTTTCCGAACTGAGAGGTGCATCCGTCGAAGATACCGACTCCGCCGCCAGGCATCATAAGATCGAAGTGGTTGTCACCGAGGTCACCTCCAGTGTTGGTGGACTGGACAATCATCTTCTTGCCCTTTACGGGACCGGTCGTAAAGGTGAGACTGAGAGAGAAACAGTTAGCATGAAAACACGGGAAGATGTAATAGAGCGACTAAGACATACGCATAGCAAGCACAGCACCAGCTGGCCTCGGTGCCACCAGCAAGCTTAGTAGCAGTGAAGCCATAGGCCAGATCGTCGTTCACGGCCCAAGGAGAGTAGTTGGTGCAAGCATAAGCAGAACCGCCACCCTCACAGCCGTTGACAGAGTTGGTGTTGGTGATGGGGTTGTCTTTGTTGTCACAAGTCAGAGCGGGAGCATTGACTTTAGCCTTGCCGCTCCAAGAGCAAGAAGGCTTGCAGCAGTCCCAGTATCGAGTAGAGCGGCCACTTCCAGAAGCAGCGCTCACGGCAAGAGGACCGACTAGGGCGAGGAGAGCGAAAGAACGCATGATGCAAGATATTGGTTTTGTTAAAGAGTGAATTTGTTTGAAAGAGAGTGTATATAAAGTAAGGAATGAAGTGAAGGAATGTGAATGGAATGGAGTGCTTCAGCGTCGAACACCTAGGACACAGCTGTGAACTCCCATCTTATATACAGATCCCAAAGCCCTGATCCTACATGGTTAGACCTTGCTGCTTCAATACCTGCCAACAAATCCAAGATGTCATGAGCACATTCTTCCAAGTGGTCCGTTAGTTCAGCCGTCGTGCATGTACACTAGCGCAGGTACAACACGAAAGGATCATGTAAGTCAAGATGAAGACCAGATGGTGGTGCAATGTATCGAGCTAGTCAGCATATCGGGTCCGGAGTCAGATCTCCCACTAATAAGAGGCTTCAGATCTGGTGTGAGGAGCATGGGACGGCAAGGCTGGACCGAACGAGCGAGAAATGAGGACGAGGAGATTTTGGTTTCAGGATTAGTTGTGGAGATTTGACAGCTTCTCGGCCGACTAATCCGAAATTGAGCAGGGATTCAGACGACTGAGATTGGAGATTGAACGATCGAGGAAAACGTTGAAGTTCTGGAAGTGGACAAGACCGATGCACGTTGTAGGTGGTTAATATGAACCACCGAATCCAACAGCCGGGTAACCGCGGATTACGAGATTAGTTGGAACTATTCTAGAATCCTTTTGTGGCTATGAGACCAAAGATCTCACTCAACACTTGGTGGTTGGTTTCCAGGACCAGTAGAGGATCAGGTCATGGATGGACCTCATTCTTCGCGGTTGAGAATTTTCAAAGGCAAGTCGACTAATTAAGAACCTTTATTGAGCTTCATTACAGATGCAGCTCTCCTCAACCCATCCCTGACATGAATCCTTGTAAGGGAAGATTAGCGCTGGATTGTCACTATAACCGCGGGCCGCATAAACCGTTGATACAGCTAGCATCAGCATGTCACTCACTGCCGAATGGAACACAACGCGAATCGCCAAGATATGAAACAAATAGACTTCGGATTCGCGGATGTGACGGATCAACGGCAGATTCTGTTCTCACTGTGAAGCCGCGATGGCTTCAAGTCTAGATAGTCTAGTGTGCCTTACATGACAAGCGTATGTACATACGTAGGCTTCCCCCTATCTCATTTCCTCACAGTAAGCACGTCGCCACGCACCTGCATCAAAGGTTATGTGATGCTCGAGGGAATATGAGCTGATTTGCACAGGGATCGTGGATGCAGCACAGAGAAATTTAATGGACTGAGATGGTAATGAGCTGAGCCCTCAGAATGTCAGAAGAAGAAGACGTTAGAAGCGCAATAAATAAAACAGTTTAGTAGCTTTATGACAGTTGAGAACCGCTCTTAAATTAGGTACGTTATTTTAACACTCCAAGCCTTCGAGAACAATTCTTCTGTCACATACCTGTGAGCATTCAAAATTTCTGCCTCAGGATGTTAGTCAAAGCTTCTAGACTTTCGAGTGCCACAGACACCGCCGCACTTGTATTATTCATCAACGTGGCGGAACCAACATCACACTAACGCTATCAGGATTAGTGCATTTCTGTCGCGTCTCGTCGCCTTAACCTCAGGCTCCTGAATGCTAAGTTAAGATTCATTGTCTAACAAATTCATCACCTCTCCACCCCTACTCGCACCTTGCGCATACCCCAACCTCACCTCATCTCCTGGCTAGAGATTGTTGTCGATCTGCCCAATCTATCGGCAGATGCTCACGGGGTGCTTCAGGTGCCAGGTCCGAAACTGACCGCCCTGCCTTCGCTGTTCTAGCTCCTTTGTCCTTCGCTGAATAACTTTCGACGCAACTGCCTACCGGCGCATCTTTATCGACTCGATCGACAATTCCTTGTCGCAACACCTAATACAAACCGGATACCCCATTATATAAACTGAAGCGACTCAAACCGACATCATGGACGATTCTTACGAGAACGACTCCGACTACGATTATGGCTACGAAGAGGGTATCACACCCGAGGATTGCTGGACTGTGATCTCATCTTTCTTTGAGACAAAGGGTCTTGCATCGCAGCAGACCGACTCTTTCGATGAGTTCACACAAACTACTGTCCAGGATCTTGTCAACGAATACGCCAACATCTCTCTCGATCAGCACAATCCGCCTTCGCCCCCTGGACAGTCGATCGCACTTCGCCGATATGAGATCAAGTTTGGCAGTGTCTTGGTTTCCCGTCCGTCTATCAGTGAGACGGACGGTACCGTTACTTCACTCCTACCTTACGAGTGTCGTGACCGAAACCTGACCTATGCTTCACCGACTTACCTCAAGATCGATAAGAAGGTGTCCGTTGCCATCGACAAGGAGATTCCTCTTAACGAGATGGACGAAGAGCAGCAGGCGGAGTACAGGCGAACCGGAATTCATCCTACCAAGCTCGTTTGGGAGGTCGAGGAGAGTGGTGAAAGTATGAAGGGTGGGGATGATCAATCAGACATGGTCTTTGTGGGTAAGATGCCTATCATGGTCAAATCCAGGATTTGCCATCTGAGCAGGCACTCGGACGAGGAACTGTTCACACTTAACGAGTGTCCCTACGATCAAGGTGGTTACTTCGTTATCAACGGTAGTGAAAAGGTCCTGATCGCCCAGGAACGTTCTGCCGCCAATATCGTCCAGGTTTTCAAGAAAGCCCAGCCCAGCCCCTTTACCTACACTGCTGAGATTCGAAGTGCCCTTGAGAAGGGCTCACGTCTTATCTCCAGTCTTATGATGAAGCTGTATGGTAAGGGAGACTCTGCTCGTGGTGGCTTTGGTCAAACTATCCAGACTACTCTACCATTCGTCAAGGCTGATCTCCCCGTTGCCATCGTCTTCCGAGCTTTGGGTGTTGTTTCTGATGAGGATATTCTCAACCACATTTGCTATGACAGAAACGATAGTCAAATGTTGGAAATGCTTCGTCCTTGTATCGAGGAAGCTTTCTGTGTCCAGGACAGAGAAGTTGCTCTCGATTTCATCGGAAAGCGTGGAAACCGAGACCAGGCCAGTCTCGGACGTGAGAAGCGTGTTCGTGTCGCAAAGGACATTCTCCAGAAGGAGACACTACCCCATATTTCCCAATCAGAGGGTAGCGAGACCCGCAAGGCGTTCTTCCTGGGTTATATGGTGCACAAGCTTCTTCAGTGCGCGCTCGGCCGTCGTGAGCCCGATGACCGTGATCACTTTGGAAAGAAGCGACTTGATCTTGCCGGTCCCCTGTTGGCCAAGCTCTTCCGTGGCATTATAAGGCGAATGAACACTGAGCTTTCCAACTATCTCAAGCGTTGCGTTGAGTCTAACCGGCATTTCAACCTGAACGTTGCCATCAAGCCAGGAACCCTGTCCAATGGTCTCAAGTACTCCCTGGCTACTGGTAACTGGGGAGATCAAAAGAAGGCTGCAAGCTCCACAGCTGGTGTCTCTCAGGTGTTGAACAGATATACATTTGCTTCCACTCTTTCACATTTGCGACGTACCAACACACCTATTGGTCGTGATGGTAAACTTGCGAAGCCTCGGCAGCTGCATAACACTCACTGGGGCTTGGTGTGCCCTGCCGAGACACCAGAAGGTCAGGCTTGTGGTCTGGTCAAGAACTTGTCGCTGATGTGCTACGTGAGTGTGGGTTCGCCAGCCGAGCCTTTGATCGAATTCATGATCAACAGAGGTATGGAAGTTGTTGAAGAGTACGAACCAACAAGATATCCTCACGCGACCAAGGTTTTCGTCAACGGAAGTTGGGTCGGCGTCCACCCTGATCCTAGGCACCTGGTGAACTCCGTCCTGGACACACGACGAAAGTCTTACGTCCAGTTCGAAGTTTCCCTTGTTCGTGACATCCGTGACCGCGAATTCAAGATTTTCTCTGATGCAGGCCGAGTCATGAGACCAGTCTTCACAGTGCAACAAGAGGATGATTACGAAACCGGCATCAATAAGGGACAGCTAGTATTGACAAAGGAGCTCGTGAACAAGATTGCCCAGGAGCAGGCAGAGCCACCTGCTGATCCATCGGAAAAGATTGGATGGGAGGGCCTCATCCGCTCTGGAGCTGTGGAGTATCTCGACGCCGAGGAAGAAGAAACCGCAATGATTTGCATGACGCCTGAAGATCTCGAAATCTATCGTGAACAGAAGCAGGACGAGGTTAATCTTACAGAGGAAGAGAAGCGGGCCAAGCAAGAAGCAGAGAAGAGGGAGCAAGAGGAAGAACGCAACAAGCGTCTGAAGACGAAGGTCAACCCCACAACTCACATGTACACACACTGTGAGATTCATCCCAGTATGATTCTGGGTATTTGTGCCAGTATCATTCCCTTCCCCGATCACAACCAGGTATGTATCCCCACACCCGATCAAGTTGAGCCTGTCTAACGATTTACAGTCTCCTCGTAACACTTACCAATCTGCCATGGGTAAACAAGCTATGGGTTTCTTCTTGACAAATTACTCTCGACGTATGGATACTATGGCCAATATTCTCTACTATCCGCAAAAGCCTCTCGCCACCACCCGATCCATGGAGTTTCTCAAGTTCCGTGAATTGCCGGCCGGTCAAAACGCCATTGTTGCTATTGCTTGTTATTCAGGATACAACCAGGAAGATTCCGTCATTATGAACCAGAGCAGTATTGATCGAGGCCTGTTCCGCAGTCTCTTCTTCCGATCATACTCGGATCAGGAGAAGAAGGTCGGTCTTAACTACACAGAAATATTCGAGAAGCCCTTCCAACAAACAACGCTTCGAATGAAGCATGGAACATACGACAAGCTCGACGAGGATGGTATCGTGGCTCCTGGTGTGCGAGTGTCAGGTGAAGATATCATCATTGGCAAGACTGCGCCTATCGATCAGGAGAATCAAGATCTCGGTACCAGAACTCAGTCGCACCAGCGCCGCGATATCTCTACACCTCTGCGAAGTACAGAGAACGGTATTGTTGATCAAGTCATCTTGACCGTCAACGCCGACAATGTCAAATACGTCAAGGTCCGAGTACGAACAACCAAGATCCCCCAGATTGGTGACAAGTTTGCTTCTCGTCACGGTCAAAAGGGTACAATTGGTGTAACTTACCGACAGGAGGATATGCCCTTCAGCAGAGAGGGTCTGACTCCCGATATTATTATCAACCCTCACGCCATTCCATCTCGAATGACAATTGCCCATTTGATTGAGTGTCTGCTAAGTAAAGTCTCAACACTTGAGGGTATGGAGGGTGACGCGACGCCCTTCACCGATGTCACTGTCGATTCCGTGTCGGAACTTCTGAGAAAGCACGGCTACCAGTCTCGAGGTTTCGAGGTTATGTACAATGGTCACACTGGACGTAAGCTCCGCGCCCAAGTCTTCTTTGGACCTACATACTACCAGCGACTTCGTCACATGGTGGACGACAAGATCCACGCTCGTGCCCGTGGTCCCGTCCAGATTATGACCCGACAGCCTGTCGAAGGTCGTGCTCGAGATGGTGGTCTTCGATTCGGAGAAATGGAACGTGATTGCATGATTGCTCATGGTGCTGCTGCCTTCTTGAAGGAACGTTTGTTTGAGGTGTCTGATGCCTTCCGAGTCCATGTCTGTGAAATTTGTGGACTCATGACGCCGATTGCGTAAGTTTTACTTTTCCCATGACAATGAATAACCCCTAACATGTATTCCAGCAACCTTTCCAAGCAGTCGTTCGAGTGCCGACCTTGCAAGAACAAGACCAAGATTGCCCAGATCCACATTCCTTACGCCGCCAAGCTGCTCTTCCAGGAGCTACAGGCCATGAACATTGCCGCCAGAATGTTTACCAACCGATCCGGAGTTTCAATTCGTTAAATGTCAATGGCATGAAAAAATTGAAAAGACAGAAGAGGCAAAAAGAGGAGATATATTAAAACAAGCCTCGAATGGTGACCCTGGCAGACATACGAAGCCTGCCAGCGCAACCTAATAACGCTTTGTAATGTAGAGAGGGGGTTCATGTCCAGAGTTAGTATATCATCAGGGTCAGGATAGTAAAAACAATGAAACGCGTTGATGCAACCAAATTTGAATTGTGACCATGGTAGCTTGGTGGCTTTGAGAGGAGTGTACAGTAATAATACATTTAATTCTTGATGTTCGCCGTTGTGCTATCGATTTGGAAGACTTTTCTCGGCTGCTGCTATCGAGTCATGCACTGTCTGCTCCCGTTTGTACTCTGCCTCCAGTTGTTTTTGCAAATCGAAGTCCAATTGTCTTTCTCGCTTGACTCTCTGCTGTTCCATATCGCGGATAACACCTTCGTGCATAGCCTGATAAATCAGAATTAGCCTCACAGCTACATGATTTTTGGAGTGTATCGTAGGAGCTGCCTGGTGTGTAAGATCGACGTACCTCCCGCTCGAACTTCTGCTGGAAATGCACAGCAAAGACTATGCCGACCGTGCCCAGCGAAGTGCCCAGCAGAGTGAGCTTAGATGCTCGAGACATGATGTCGGAGTTTCGGGTCGGCCGTTGATGGGTTATCGATGATCAATGCAATTACTCGATTGCTGCAATTCCAGGTTGTTCTTCAAGTCGTCGGGCAACTCGATAATATGTACGGAACAATATTTAGACAGAAAAAGAATGATCCAACTGCGAAAAGAAGGGACCTATCACGCCATGACGTGAAGGCGCATGGCGGCTGAAACGCGGCTCCGACACGCGCTAAGCGCAACAGATTCCACTGGAGGAGAGCCCGGACACCAACTCAAAGGTACCTAGCGGTACCTGCGAATCAGCTGGCTCCAACAGCACCTGCCCAAGCTCAGACGTAATCCGCCGTCAACTGCTAGGTACCGTACCTTGCCTTGCAGCCATTCGCAACTCCATCTTCAACTCCATTCATCGACACTTTACCATCGCATCACGACCCGGTCCTCGAACCTAATCCCGCATCTTTCTCACACGACTGATTAGATCGCTATAACACCACGACTTTTACATAACACGACATCATGGTTAGCTCCATCGCGATCATGAGCGAATGATGTTGCTAACCCGCTTCGACAGTCTGCCCAGAACTCGGCCGGCATCCAGGAGCTTCTCAGAGTAGGATCTGCCTTGCGCTGGTGCTCAATACGGTATTGTAGCTAACTAGCGTCATTAGGCTGAGCAAGATGCTTCCAAGATTGTTCAAAAGGGTGAGTTCGATAACCCAACTACTCCCCGCCTTGTTTAGATCGCTAACTTGATGATACACAGCCCGAGAATGTAAGCGCCATTTCCTTTTCGACCTGGTAATCTGTCCGTCTAACTCCGAATGATAGACCGCACCAAGCGCGTCAGGGAAGCTCGCGATGAAGCCAAGCAAGAGATAGCCAACTACAAGGCCCAGAAGGACGATGAATTTAAGAAGTTCGAGGCCGAGGTATGATCATCTTCGGTTGTTCGAATTACCAAGTCGCTGACGTCTGTGTAGCACAGCAAGGGCAACGAACAGGCCGAGGCTGAAGCTAACAAGGAAGCCGATACCCAAATCAAGGGTATCCAGGAGGCTGGAAAGAAGGGCCAGGCTCAGGTTATTAAGAACCTCCTCAGCGCTGTTTTCGACGTCAACCCTGTCGCCCCTACCAAGTCGTCCTGAGCTGTGCCCCCGACGGAGTCACGATGTTTATAATAAACGGCGCTCGCTTTACACTTCGGAAGACGATAGATTAGGCACGAGGAGGATTTGTTACAAGAGAGCAAGGCCATGCGTTCTATACTGGTCACCCCGCGGCGTTCCGTCCGCTGGACGCCTTTTTGATTATTAAGTTTACTGAACAAACTCGACTAGAGTACTCAACATGTCCCTTAGATCCTGGTTCTCCTCTGTTGTGTCCAGAGCATCCAACTGCTCCTTTAATGTACGCCCAATTACTGAAACCTTTTCGTCTCGCTCGGCAAGCACTTGCTTAACCTTGCGTGATGCGCCTGTGTCTTCTGCTACCAACCAAGCCAAAACCGTATCAATCGTCTGTAGTGTAAAGAGACCAGCATCGATTCTTCGAGACAACCATTCCAGCTCAGCTATTTCTTTATCATCTGCTGAGGTAACGGCCTTCTCGGCGTCATTTTGCTGCTCTGCCAGTGAAAGCCTGGCAACATAATCCCGGCGAAACTTGATGAGCTTTGTGATCTTCTCGTAATCTTTCTCAACGAACTTTGCTAGTGTTCGTATCCTTTCTGCCGAGTTGGCGGGTAAGAGACGCAGCATTGAAGCGAAGATCTCCACAAGATGCTCTGCTAGTCGGTGATCCTGAGTCTTCATGAATAGAGTAAAGAGTGACTTGAGTCCACCGGCCTCGACGATCTTTTGACAGACTTCGACGCCAGAGTTGCCGCCTGCGGCGTGGTTGACGAGACGAAGAGCAGGTTGCTTGCTCTTCTTTCCCTCCTTGAGCATAATAAGACAGAGCTCTACGCCCTCAGCCTCGATGAACTTTGTCTTTCCGGTAGATTCATCCGTCAAGCACGTTAGGGTGGCAAAAATATTCTCCATGTACTCTTCCTCCTCACCACCCTTGTCTGGATCGCGTCTTCGGTAAGGGGCTGCGAGCTGAAGAAGGAGATCCACCGCGTCAAGGCGTATTAATTGGGTTCGGTTGGCGGTAGATATTTGAGAAAGAATTGCCAGAATCTCTGCAGCATATTGCTTGTTCTGAGTGACAAGGTCCTCCTTTCGTTGAATGCGCTGAAGGAGCCACTGTAGAAGCTTCTCGTCCTCACCCACGCGTTCAGCGACAGATTGTCGAGAACACAAGTTTTCAATCACCCCTAAAGCATGGTAAATACCATTGCGATCTGATTCATCGTCTTCGTTCAGGCGAGAGAAGTTGGAGACAAGAAGGCCCAGAAGATCAGCGTCCATCATGGCATCTACCAAGCCATTCCACTGTTCTTCCTCTGCAGAAACGTCCTCATCGGTCAACTCGCCCATAATCTCGATAGCGTCGATGGCAATGTCGGTGTTTTCATGCGCCAAAAGGCTGACTAGACTGGCGACACATCCTGTCTTGACGAATTCTGTGTATAGTTCAGGGTGTTCCGAGAGAAGAGAGAGGCCTTTGATGTCAGCATCAAGATCGGCTTCGCTGCTAATAAACTTTTGAGGGTCGTTTTCGAATTTGGCGCGAAGCTCGGCGTTCTTGTTGATACGCTTCTCGAAATTGAGAGCGGTTTTCCGCAACCAAGCTGCGTCAATCTTTTCGGGCGCATTGCCGCCGTCGGCTTCGTCTACATAGTCGAGGATCTCTGATTCTTGTTTCGTTATACCACCACCGAAGAAGCGGCCTTCGTCGTCATCAGGAGGTAACTCGGGGCCGAAATCGTCGTCTTCGGCGGGAGGAGGTGCTGGGCCAGCTTCCATATCTTCATCTTCGTCTTGCGCATCGTCGACTTGAGCATGGCGGTTTGAGTCGTTGGTGTTAAATTTTGCGGATTTATAAATTTCGTCTTGGGCCGTATAAGTGATATATAACTTTGCGATCGAGGTTTGGCAAACTTACTTGGATCTCGAATGGGATCAAGCTTGCGCTTGCCTGAGATGCCGGAGCTCTAGAAGCTTGTTAGAAACTGAAATTGCAGAGCAAATGTAAACAAACAAACTGACCTTGAAGATATCATCGACACTAGCCATGGCAGGAGTTGGTGGATTGAACGAATGAGAGGTCAGAATTGTTGCTTCCAACTTTTGATACCCAAATTATTGCTTCGCGACTGGCGATACTTTGAAGCGACGCGCTGCTCAAACTGGTATGGTTATGATGAATGTTTGATGTTTGTTGCAGGCATTACATAAGGCTACCTACAAGCTAGAACTGAAACGAGACAGCGTGGAGACATGGAGCTTTGGAGTACCGCACCGCACAGTAACATCGCTTAGGACGCGAACTGCCTAGTGCCTGCTAACTTAGCAGAAGAATTGTCCTCTCAGGTTTAGGTCGTCAGAGAATATTAGCCCAAATGCCAATCTAAGCCTGAATAAAGTGACCGAATTATTCTACTTCTTATGCTCTCGCCGGTCAATTTCTCTGATACCCTGGCGACTGCTGGAAGACTCGAACTGCATCAGCTGATACTGTGGAAATATTGGCCGAAGCGCCGGGGAAGGCAGCGCACAGGGCAAGTGCCGGTCACTCTTTAGGCTGTCACAAATTGGAGACAGCAAGAACGCAATCCCTAGGTACCGATGCCTCAAACCACCAACCAGAACTCGAGATGCAGGTACGGCTTCTCCCCTGACATGGATAAGTAAGTTTGGTTTATCGACCTACTTATGTGCATATGTTAAGTTTGCTGCTATGGGGTGACTGATCTGTTTCTGGAACCGACTTGAGTTCTTTAATGCTTCAACCTGGCTTCTGCATCCCATCCCTTGACTCAGCCACGGCCTCAATGACTACGAATACCGACCAAAGGACACCGAAATGAGAATGCCATTTTGCACCCATACGCATTTACATCCTACAACTGTTCCGTGCATTCTCCAGTACAGCAGTACCTGATATAGCCAATCGCGCCGGAAGCGGACCTCGCTCCATCCCATTAGCTCGCGGGCCTTTTCTCCACGAACGCACCGCAGAACCCACGAGTTGGCACTTGAACTGTGCTGTTCCGTCCAGTGGAAAGGGCCCAGGCTTCCACTAACCCGACCTCCACTACCCTTAGCAGTCCCCTAAAATCGCCAGGACTGGTGTACAAGGGAAAGGGGGAAATTGTTGGCTTTTGGTTCGGATCCAGTAGCATCGCCGGATTGGTTTGGCTTGAAGTCAAAGAGATGCACGACGGTCAGATCTCATCCTCTAGAATCCACGACCATTACCGTCCGAGCGCGTCGTTGTCATCTAATTCTCCTCCAGCTGCAGTTGCAGTTGCTGTCTCGCCGCCCTGGGCTATACATGCGTACACAAACTCTAATAAACCCGCTTCCGTACCGACTAATTCTGGACCTAATAATCACTACTATCGCGACCCGTCGAGATCTGCGAATTCACCATCTCTAAACGCCTATCATCATCACAAGCCCCCGGGACCCCGGCTTCCTCGAACTTCTTCACTTCTCCCACCACCCCATATTGAGCCTTCACCAAGACCTGGGGCTTTCGAGAGTTCCGATCGCTTATCTCCCACTACTCCTGGGCACAGAGTCCCACACAACGCCGCCGACAGTTCGTGGTTATTGAATCGCCTGCCTTCTTCGACTGTATCGCCGAATTTCAGTCGTATTTCGGCGCTACCTCCCCACGTTAATCATCCGCGAATTGGTGGCCGCCCCAGTATCGATGCGACCACTTTCATTGACAACTCTCCACCGCCTTCCAAACCATCGCCTAGGAAACTCCAAAAGCATCGCCGCAACGTCTCCTCCGTTTCTAACGTTGACGGTTTTACATCGAACCCTCGAGAAGAGCGAAGTCAATTGCCACAATCTCTACCGTTGATTGTCGCATTATCGCCCTTGGAGCCACCCCAAGGTTTAGACGATTTTCTCAATATCAAAACTGAAGGGGCTGGCCCTGGTTCTGGTTTGGGTAGGCCTGGGCGCTCGACCGTCGCTCACCAGGAGGGACAGTCCCTGAAGCGCTCCAACACACCGGACTCTCCAGCCCAGTCCACGACATCTACACCAGCGAGCGGGCGTTCAATGGCTACTTACAGACCCAACATGCCTTACGACAAGGATCAAGAGGCATACCCGCCTCAAAGAGGTCATTCCAGGAATCGATCTGGTAAAGGGAGTACAGACAAAGGACGCGGATCCAAACCGCCGTCACAAAAGGCCATGCTACACCGTGCGTTACAAAAGGCCAATACAGCAGTACAGTTGGATAATGCACAAAACTTTAAGGGGGCACGGGAAGCCTATGCAGAAGCCTGTGATCTCCTGCAGCAGGTTTTGCAGAAGACGACCGCCGATGAGGATAAGCGCAAGCTTGAAGCAATTGTAGGGATGCTTCCCAGAGAAACAAAGCACGATAACTGACATTATACTTTAGCGACGCACTTACACCAGTCGAATCGACGAATTGGACCAGATGGCCCCTTGGCAAGAAGAAGAAACCAAAGCTCTGCCAGCCCGGCCCGAAAGTCTAGCTCAGCGCTCTGAGACCGAATCTATGTTACAATTAGATGACGACGACGACGACGATGACCCCGACGAAGCCACTGTCTTTGACACCGCGACTGCGACTTCAACGAGAATAAACAACCATAGCCCGCAACCCCGGGTGGTCAACTCCCCGCCCCGAGATGAAGATGCTAGTTCTAAGAGACGAAGCGTGCAAAGTAAACCGAAGCCTATTGTTACAACTCTTACCCCCGAGCCAGGACTCCTCCAATCGTCTTTCTCGCGATCACCTGTGCGCCTCCGAACTCCTGAACATTTACTCCCACAGCGATCTGCAAACCCGTATATGCCAGCCCCTTTATCTCCTAGGCGCGCTCCATCGCCAGTCAAGCCTGAAGTCGACGACATGAACGAGCCCATACGATCTGACTTTTCCATGCATCATGATCAGCTGGTTGACTCAATGCCCGAACGCAGCGTGCCACATACACATTTCCGCGACGACAGCATGAACTCTTGGCTAGATCCCATCGACGAATCAGGAGGGTCAACTTCATCTTCCGTTCACTCACGAACTTCGTCACTTGGTTTCAGAAGGAAACATATTCGAAATGTTAGCGGGGAAACCGAGGCTGAATTTGACACTGCATTAGATGCAGCCATCGAAGCGGCATATAACGACGGCTATGAGCCGATGAGTCCAACAGATAACGGACAAGTGATGCCAACGGAAGGAGGAGAGGACGTGGTAGCCAATGCCATGCGTAGAGTTGAACTGGCTCGCCAACGAGTTCGGGAAACAGAGCAGGAGCTTTATGATATGGAGAGAGACTCACGAGCGCAACAGCAATACCAGACCTCTTACACTGAGTATGAGGAAACTAACGACTTTTACAACGACAACTCTTCAGATGAGGAAGAGAGAATCCTGGACGAGATTGCTCGAGACTATGGTCTTGAGTCGTACAGAAATCGCCCTGCACCTCCAAGGGAATCCGACTCTAGTGGCGTGACTTCGCGTACCTGGCATAGTTCACAGGGCTCAAATCCTCCGACAGGAGCTACTTCACTGTCAACTGTCACAGAACTACCACCTTTCACGAATATCGCACATGGTCCGGCTGCGCCTCCACCGACGGGATCTCTTCCCGAATTGCCCCAACGACCAGGGTCGTCCGCGCAAAGCGTGCGCAATAGGAGACTGTCAGGACAGAACCCGAAACAGCTTAAAATTGAGACATCCAAGCTCGCTCTGCCTATTCAGCAAGCTGGTGATTCAGGACAGACCAGATCGGCTCAGGCTGGTCACCAGGGGTCAGATACTCAAACCGACATCGATGCGAAAGCGACGGGTACAACTTATAGACCACCTTCGCCTCCGTTATTCGAGGCCAGTCCAACAGATACAACGGCAGTTAGACCCACAGCATCACCATATGGCCACCTAGGTTCAGAAAAGGGTGACGATGACGTTACCGGCTCGCCAAATACACGCAAACTGAGGAAGAACTTCTCGTCATCCAGCCTGAGAAGTATGAAAAGCCGCAATATGTCTTTAACCCATCTCGAGGAAAGTTCAGATATGTCCCCTGGAACTCCTGGAAGCAATCCTTTTGGGTCTCTTAATGCACCATCGGTTCCCGCACTGCCTACGCCTTTGGCAGCTTCCTTTCGCGAACGATCAGAAACGAACGCAGCTGGGCTTTCTCTATTTGACGACTTCTTCCAGTCTCCGACAAGCCCAGGCTCACCTAATCCCCTTTATCCGGACGCTCCTGCTCCCTTGGAACCCTGTCCTACCGATTTTATGCTCCGGCCGTTCTGGCTAATGCGGTGCCTTTACCAAACCCTCGCTCATCCAAAGGGTGGCTACATCAGTAGCAAACTTTTCGTCTCCCGGGATGTTTGGAGAGTGAAAGGAGTGAAGCTAAAGAACATTGAGGATAAGGTGGCCAATTGCGATTTTCTTACAGCTGCTTTGCTCAAAATTGCCCAAGTAAATACCTATGATGCCGATGCCGTTCTAGAAGAAATGCAGTCCCTGGAAGGCATCTTAGAACAGGTTCAGACGGCGTTGACCCGCAAGCTTGGCAATGAAGTGGGTGTGCAGGGATCGGGAACTCTTTTCAAGGACGCATCTACCGGCGATGGCGATACGACCACGGGCGTGCCACGTTCGGCCAGCGTTTCTGGGAAATCGTCGTTTTCATGGCGGCGCTTGCGTTCCAAGAACTCGGCAGTCGGACTTGGCAGCGCATATACAAGCAGGGGAACAGAGACGAATAAGGAGATACCCAGTCTCGCCAGCCTACCAATGACACCAAACCCAACAAACCGGCCAACGAAGCGGGATCTGGCACAGGTCCAATTCACGGGCCCTAACGCGATGTATATGAGCTCATTGGCGCGCCTGTTTGATGCAGCCCAAGCTATTGGTATGTTCACTTCTCATGCTGAGGTTGAATAAGTTACTGACCATTGTATAGATCAAATAGCCAGACAAGTAGAAGACCCTGGCTTGCGGCATGCTGACAAGACCCAAGTTGGGCTTGAGCTTTGCACTAGACACGCCGCTGAATTCTTTGGGTTTTATATATGCCGATTCGTTCTGGCAGACTTGGGACTGTTGCTCGACAAATATCTTAAGCGCGGCAGTGAATGGGTTCTTACTTGATGTGAAATGAAAGAGATGGATGACTGGGAATCGGTAGTTATGATGCATGGACAAGCAGGCAATGGTGTCTTCGTTTTTATTCGGCGAACTACTTAGATGTATTCCGCATGTCGGGAAAGGCACGATACCCAAGCGATCTATATGTTTCACTTTAAAGCACGTTTGTTCTCAATATATATGATGTGATGGATGGCATACGTCTCGATGAGGGCGAAGGAATGTATTTTTTCAATGACCAAATACTTAATTGGTAAAGGAACAAGTCTATATATTCGGAACAAAGTACTTGTGATACTCACCCAATCATCTAAAGCAGCAGGTATGTTGCTTCTTTCGAAGTTTCGATTTGCTAGAACTGGGTGCTCAGCATCTCAAAGCTTCTTTCAGTGGCCAAGAATGGAATAGCGCGGGGAATCGCAGCTGTAGACAGGTACGGTACGTACCTCCACTACGCCTGAGGATTTCGTCCATCATGCCCGCGGATGGGCAAATCTTTTGTCTGCAACCTCATCTTCCCGACCTGCTCGTTCCACTCAAACGACTTTCCAGCCATTGAAGTGGCTCGACTATTCTCTATCACTCTTTTGGCCAAATGTGCCCGAGAAAAGTCTAGATGAGCCTGGCTTGGAGCGCTGGCCGTGCCTGGAGTCGGCAATGCCTCTCGCAAGCTAGACCATCATGGCCCGTATGCCACAACAGAATACTGCTGCGTAGCGCACCACGCCTTGTCCCAGCCTTTCGCGCATATGCTTCCACGAATACGAAACCGACACCAGCTGACCTCGAGGCCCGAATCGCCGCAATTCCGATCGAGAGATATCGAAACTTTTGTATCGTTGCGCATATCGATCATGGAAAGAGTACGCTGAGCGACAGGTTGCTGGAGTATACGGGGACGATATCGGCAAGCGATGCGAACAAACAAATTTTGGATAAGCTAGATGTTGAGCGAGAGCGAGGCATCACTGTCAAGGCGCAGACGTGTACCATGATTCACAATTACAAAGGCCAAGATTACCTGCTTCACTTGGTCGATACACCTGGCCACGTCGATTTCAGAGCAGAGGTTACGAGATCATATGCCAGCTGTGGCGGCGCACTGCTTCTTGTAGATGCATCACAAGGGATCCAGGCCCAGACTGTGTCGAATTTTCACCTCGCATTTGCACAGGATCTTGCGCTGGTACCAGTCGTGAACAAGATCGATATGCCTGCGGCTGATGTTCCTCGTGTGCTTAAGCAGATGGAAGATAGCTTCGAGCTGGATCCCAAGAGCGCCGTTCTACTCAGCGCTAAAACGGGTAAGGGCGTACCAGATGTTTTGCCTGCTGTCATTGAGAGAATACCTCATCCCGTGGGCAATGAGAAAAAGCCACTAAGGATGATGTTGGTGGATTCTTGGTACGACAACTTCCGTGGAGTCGTACTCTTGGTTAGACTCTTTGATGGCACAATCAAAGCTGGCGATAATGTCATCTCCATGGGTACGGGTATGAAGTACACTGTTGGTCAAGTAGGCATCCAATACCCTCACGCCATCCCACAAAAGAGCCTCAGCGCTGGCCAAGTTGGCTACGTTTTCTTTAATCCAGGCATGAAGAGGATTCAAGATGCAAAGCTCGGTGACACGTTTACTTTCCTGGGCTGCGAAGACCAGGTCGAACCCTACCCCGGATTCGAAGAGCCCAAACCTATGGTCTTCGTCGCCGCATTTCCCACTGATCAGAGCGACTATGGTCGCCTTGCCGACAGCATCAATCAGCTGGTGCTAAACGACCGTAGCGTGACTTTGCAGAAGGACCACTCCGAGGCACTCGGGGCGGGTTGGCGTTTGGGATTTCTGGGGAGCTTGCACTGCTCTGTGTTTCAGGATCGTTTGAGACAGGAACACGGACGAAGTGTCATCCTAACGGAACCAACAGTACCGTCCAAAATCATCTGGCCCGACGGAACGGAGGAGATCGTACAGAACCCAGCGCTGTTTCCGGAGACCAGCAATCCGAAAGTCAAACAGTCCCAGCTGTTTGAACCGTGAGTTTCTTTTTGTGAATTTTGGGGCCATTGGAAATTATGCTAACCGGTGTGCAGTTATGTAACAGCTACTATTACCATGCCGGAGGAGTACCTAGGCCGTGTAATTGAGTTGTGCGAGGCCAACCGTGGTGAACAGAAGAGCCTTGAGTTCTTTCACACGACACAGGTTATTCTGCAGTACCACATCCCAACGGCCCAGCTGGTAGATGATCTTTTTGGGAAGCTCAAGAGCGTCACGTATGTTTCTCGCCATACCTCGTTTTTCGAGCGTCACTAACAGATTGCCATAGCAAGGGATATGCTACACTGGACTATGAAGATGCAGGCTGGCAACAGAGCAGCCTGGTCAAGATCCAACTTCTGGTGAACAGACAACCTGTTGATGCTATTTGTAAGGTTGTGCATACATCTCAGGTTGATCGTCTTGGAAAGCAATGGGTGACCAAGTTCAAAGAGCATGTTGACCGACAGCATTTTGGTAAGTCAAGTCCTACTCATATTCCTTTCATCCACTTTTCGAAGCACCATGTGGTCAGTGCTAACATGAAATCCAGAGGTTGTCATCCAAGCCACTGCGGGTAACCGCATTGTAGCACGAGAAACCATTAAGCCGTTCCGCAAGGACGTGCTCGCCAAGCTCCATGCTGCTGATGTGTCACGAAGAAGGAAGTTGTTGGAGAAGCAAAAGGAGGGAAGAAAAAGGTTGCGTGCCGTGGGCAACGTCGTCATCGATCAGTCAGCTTTCCAAAGTTTCATGTCGAGATGATAGAGTAATCGAACAGCATTGGATATAGTGTGTACCAATATTGTAACATCACGATCGTATGATAGCTACTAAGAATAAAGAAAGATATATATAATTATGCAAAAGAGAGTATATCCTTGGCTCGTAAGATCCTGAAACTACCGCTGTTGTATCTATATATCGAAGTCATTCTACAGATGTGAAACTAGCCAAGTCAACGACAAAGCTGAACATCAAGTAGCACTGGGATCGGTTTCAGGATCCTCCTCGGGTAGATCACCCCCAAGAGCAACAGGATCCTTCCACGAGAGTCCCAGACCACCGGCAAGAGTCCTCTCCTGCTGCGCGATTCTCAACTCACCCTCGACGCCCCTCTCGGCTTCGAAGTCGAACACGCGGTAGTCACTATTAAAGAACCAATATCCAGTGACACCTAACCTGAGAAACCCAGAGTGGGATACCACGAATATGAGCTTCTCGGGTCGCTTATGGAGATCCTCTAAAGCACGTTTTCCACGGGCGAGGATGGACTTCTTGGTATAAGCGTACCGCCGACCAGCAGGAGATCTCTTGTCCGGCCAGACGGCGTCGACAGTGGAGACGTTGACTTGGGGAAAGTCTTTTGCGACGGAAGATACTTGACTTCCTGTATCACAAGGTTTATCCGAGTTTTCTACCCAAGTAATAAGTAAGATTTGTAACAGTTTGGTGAATAGACATGGAACTACCTTGCCAGTCTGCATTGCCTTCGATTTTCACACCTTGCTCGACAAGCCAGTCAAGAGACAGCATGGCTGTCTGCAAAGTACGACGCATGGGACTCACGACGATAGCGATATCATCGGGTTTCTCTACATCTTGGGAGAAGGTTGCGATGAGGTTTTCTCGCAACTTGGCGCATTGTGCCTCGCCTTCACCTGTAAGCGGGGGGTCTGGGATGGTGTAGTCTTGTGGTGAGCGTCAGTAATTAATTGTATGGTATACGATTAGGGGAAAAACTTATGAGAAAGGTTATGCAATGCCTGGGCGTGGCGGATGAGGATGACGGTTGGAGACATGGCTTTTGTTTGAGTGGGCGGTGATTGTCGTAGGCTGTGGTTACCTGGATTTAGGTTGGTTGAAGTCATTCAAGTTACATAATCTACAGGAGTGGATTTAATAAAAGTCAGGAATTAATTAACCAGTTGTTACTTAAATAGAGAATGCCTTAGCACCCGATAGTTGTACATAAACCCAACGGCATTAACACATGCGAACTATTCTGATGTACTTAGAATAAACGAGTACTTGATGACTTAGGAGGCGCTGGTGAGGACATCGCATCGTCCGATCTTGATCACTGAATGGTCCCGGGTAGTCCGCCATCTCTCCATTAACTAAAGGCTAAGGGCAACGCTATCATGGATAATTACACAAATTCTGTATATATATATATATTATTCTATATTAACGAGAGTATTATGTACGTTCATTACGTCCATTAGCTGCAGCTTATTCGCTCAAAGCCGCATAAAAAAACTGACCAAGCCCCTGACATGAATGGCTTCATTTTCCTCCTCCTCTTTGTCTAAATGCTGTCTATGTGCGTCTCACGTGTAAATGCTAAACGTCATTAAATATTATAAATCTCACTCTCTAGATCGCCAAAAGAGCGGCGACGCCAATCATTATTCCCACGACGGGAGCTCCTGTTGGAGCGGCGGCGTTGTCCGTTGATGTGGACGACGCCCCTGCTGCTGCCGCTTGGCCAGCTGAGGATGCAGCTTCGACCAACGACGTCACCACTTCGCTGGGTAGACCTGTGGCAGTGGAAGCAGTATCCTCAGCTTCCGACACGATGGTCTTGGAAACAACCATCGTTGTCGCCTCAGTCTCGGATGCCATTGTTGTTGTGATCGTTGTCTCTTGTGTCGTGGAAACCTTGGCCTTGGTGGTGCTAGCCACGGCTGTTGAGCTAGACTCAGCGGTTCCCTCAGCAGCACCACCAGCCTTCTTGACGCGTTCCTTGACCCAATCGGCAACTTCGTCCGTGAAAACGTCGAAGTAGTTGAGATGTGTCTTTACGTCCTTGCCCTGTGCGCAAATAGGATCTGTCTTGACGCAATACGCCTGCAAGACATCACCGTAGCTCGCCAAGTTGGCAAGCTGATCGGCGGGGCGGGGAAAGAGACCGTTACTGTCGGCGCCTGTGAGGACATTGTACGGTTGTCCCGCTGTGTGTCGAGTATCGCCGAATATCATAGCTGCGACGACTAGAAACAGGATTTCGTCAGTCACGTCACAGATCAAAACGGTGGTGGTGGTGGTAGTAGTGGAAAACGCATTGGATAGGGAACGGCTTTCTTGACTTACTGCTGCTACCAGGTTCTGACTTGGAGCTCAAGCCCGCAATCTTGTCCTCGACACAATCCTCGAAGAAAACACCTCCTCCACCACCGAGAATGTCGCCTACAACCTGCCCGCCCTGAGAGTATCCGCTGACGACCAGTTTGGACTTTGGACATCTCTTGTTGTAGGCGGTGATCTGCTTCTTGCCGTTGACGACACCCTCGGTAACCGAGTCGCAGAAGGGGGCTTCTAGGGGGTTGTTGAAGAGAATATCCTCGTAATCGCAGCTCTTGTATCCATCGCAAATGGCTTCGGCCAATTTGCCTTGTCGACCTGGGTAGGGCTCATTGTTTCCCTTTGCGAGGAAGACGTGGACGTCTTTGCATTCGGAAGCTCGGATGCCAATTGAGTGAGCGTCTGCAGCGGCGGCAGTGGCGAGAAGAAAAAGCAACGAAGATTTTTGCTGCATTGTGAAGTTTCGTGAAATCAATGGAAGAAAGGGAGGAGAATAACGAAAGATTGTTCCCAAAACCAGGACTCGTACGTCTTTTTCAACGATCGACTTCTTTCTCTCCAAGGCAGCGCAAAGGCTCGTATAAGATCTGCGACTCACTTCACAACTTTCGTCACTGACCCAAAACAGAGACGAGAAACAAGAGACGAGACCCGTTTCATGCTGGGATCCCCTGGGAGCGCCCCAGGTTTTTTGTATGTTGGCCCGCAATGAAAGTGGAAATTCCTTGGGTTCGGGCTCGAAGGTTCCGATAGCGAGCCTGGACAGTATTAAACGCTACAGCGGAGTCGCTAATTTCACTAATCTGACCTAGCACTTCAGCGTGCTCAGCTGATGGGTCACGGGGGGCTCTCTAGGCTAACTATCCACGTCAACGGGGGAGTTGCCTGATTTGGGAATCTTCAGCATCGTCTGCTTATCATATGCCCTGGAATTTGGTAAATACCCGCCAAAAGATCTACAGAAAAGTTATCCAACTACCAATCTTGGCCTCTCTAACCTCTCTGGGCCACTCTAGGCTCTCAAGCTCTTTTTAGCTTCCTTCCCATCTGAGAATTTGTATGATCCGTCTGTCTTACCGTACCCATATCTTCCTTATCTTACCCAGTTTATTTGATCTCCATGGCTGGCTGCTGTTTAATGAGCATGTCCTCGGTTATCAGCACCCTTGAAGTGAGGGTTGAAGTCGTACGTTTGATGCCTCTCATCCTCTTCCCAGACCAATTGCCCTTTTTCTGTGTGAATCCTGAAATGCGACTCCTTCAATCGCTGAGCCATCTCGGGAGTTAGGTTCTCAGTATCCTTCTCAGCGTACACCAGGGCTTTGTTACGGCCCTTGAAGCAATCGTTTGAACTGTCACCATGGTTGTTTCCGGGCTCGTAATTGGGGAATGACTGCAGTCGGTCAAGCAATGACCGATGTAACACTGCGCCGCGGGGAATGTCACGGTATGAACCCATGTTCGGGGGAAAAGTGACTGGTTTCCAGCCGAGAAGCTTGACGTTTTCCTTTGTCGCGTCGTCCAATTCCCAGCGAGTGAGAAAAGGGAGCCATTCTGTCCATGGATGTTAGCGATTGTCATGTACCATTGAGTAAAATGAGTGATGCGTGCAAAACGAAGAAGTACTTACCCATAAACTTCCACATGAGGACCTTGAAGAAAGCAGTTCCGTATCCAAAAGCAAGAGTGTCATGCATGAACCCGTGGGTCGCCTCCATACGCCTCTGGGGATCCTTCATCATCTTCTCAAAGGGTTCAAGGCTGTGGCACCAATGAACTTGAGCACCCGCGTCCTTCTCTCCGCACTTCTTGACCTCGCGAATCATCCATTCCAAAGGAATGTCACTCATCTGCAGCCAGTCATTGTTGAGATCTGTGCTGGCCTTATCGGCCTTCCAAGTCTTGATAGCGTTCTTGAAGCGGCCCCAGAGAGACATCTTCTTGACTTCAGGCTTGGGCTGATCAGAGCCATTTTCCTCAACAAGGTTCTGTTCCGAGGAGCAGAGTAACGGCTGCTTAGTCTTGGTATCAGACTCTTCTTCTACCAAGACGGGCCAGCCACCGCCGACATCGCCGTGGTTACCAGGGAACCAGACTTCCTTGATGTCTTCCTCCGCGGCTGACTTATGGCTATGGATGGCAGCTCTGATATCCTGCGCAAGAAGAGCGGGCTTGAACTTGACACGACGCTCATCAACAGCCACCGCGTGACGAACATGGTGTGCTGTGCCAGTCACAGGGACAGGCATACGAGCCTTACGCTCCAGAACAGCGACTGAAGCGACGCAGTCCCAGATTCCGAGGAAGAATACCTTGATATTCTCCTCCTCGTCATGGTCGTTCGTCTCTTTGCGACAGAACGTCTGGCTAAATGCTTCAATCTCATTGGAAGCGTCCCTGGTCTCGTCACTGACATCAGCGGGAGCCTGGCCCGGCAATCGAATCTCATCGGCGTGAGACTGAGCACCTTCGCCATCATGCTTGTGACTATGAGAACATTGGGCTACTTCACTGTCATGGATCTCTCCTTGCAAGTGACGTTGGTAGAGACGGAATGCAAAAGGAACCATTTCCTCGTTACCCTTGCAGAGAAGGCCAACTTTGTTGACCATTCTGGCGAGGAACTTCGCAGTGTAGGCACCTCGGCTGAAACCAAAGACATAGATCTTTGCTCCCTTGGAATTTTTAGTATAACTGAATTAACAAATGAGAGGGAAATGAAACCTACAGGCTCATAGTATCGCATGAGAAAGCGGTAGCCAGCCATGACATGGGCATCAAACGTAGTTCCGAACCCCTGGTCAATGGTTTTTGAAATACTACTACCAATTTCACCCACAAAAGTCTTGTTCACAGACTTTTCATTGATGTCGTAGGTACCAATACCGGCTGAAAAATGTTAGCAAGTAATATGGTGTACTTAAGGGCCCAGTAGCTCACTTTGATAGTAGTGGAACTGGTTTGGATTGTTGCGATCCAACTTCCGCAGAATCTTGACTACGTTGGTATCCGCATTGGAACCACTGAAGGTGTTTCCCGTGCCATCGAAACACAGAATGAGCTTCTTAGGCTCCGAAGAGTCAAACGTCTCAGCGTGAGGCATTGTGAATATCGGAAGAAGGATATGAATGGAGAGGCGAAGAAACGACAAAACCTATGTTTGGGGGACCAGAACAGCTTTCTTTATGCGGAAGATAGTCAACCCCCTCTACCAGATCACAGTCTTATCCAAAGTACCAATTATCGTTGCTTTTTGCCAATCTATGTCCCCCCCCCCTTGCTGAGTGGTGGCTTCACCGTGAGTTGCGGCATGTGAATTTGGTGTAGCCTCAGTATGTACTGATGACGTGGAAACGACAAAGTATACAGGTGAATACAAAGGAACCCCTCTTGTTGACCTGTTCAAGGTCTCATTTCCTCAGACTCATGGTCGGCCCAGCCGCTCAAGACAATGTAGTTATGTAGGGCGACTAAATCGGAGAATATTGATTTGTCAACCCAACCACGCATGTCTCAGCAAGCCACACGTCGATAAACATTGCTCTTTTCATGGTCGAAGGTGACTGAGAGAAGAAGAAGATCAGCAAGTTGAACTCTCCCTCTCAATTCCTCACTCTCTGGACGGCTGAGAATGTCTGTGAGACCTGGGTCGTGTCCTGTTACGAGCAGTTGCAGTTTGTGTTTCAGCAAGCCACAATTCCAGACTTGCATCGAGCCGCATTGTAACTCAATTGCTTGCTGGTCTTGTCAGAAGCGGGGAGGGGACATGCATGCATCCGATGGGTCTGTAAAAGGTCGGTGACGGTAACACAGCGTCTTCAGCAGTTGATATTCTTGGACCCTGATGTTTTGGTTCATCGAGAATGTTCGTGGTTAGCTACGGCCCAGAGGCTTTGAAATTGAGGGCCTCGTTTCTTGGCTCTGGCTCTCCGTTTTGTAGCTATTTCTCGAGAACTGGTTTAGCCGTCAAGTAGTCAGTAAAGAATAGCTGTCTGACGTTGGCCTGCAGGTCTGACCCATCTAAACTCACCGGTATTCACTTTGCTTTTCTACAACTCGAGAATATCTTCTCGACGGCAGGCATAGCACATGTAATATTGTTCCGTGGCCAATCGCCTAAGCTCAATAACAAATCACAATCTGGGCATGAACTGTAGGTCTCACAACCCCTCAATTCAATTTCAGCTCCGTACACAGCAGGATGGGTTGCTAAGACAAGGACCGGCAACTGCTATTTGCCGTGACGGGCCGTGTCTCCTGAAGGCCAGTGATATAATGCGCTATGATATGATCGACGGTTGGTGTTGCACGGCACAGAAGAGGGGTCCCTTTGCTAAAAGACGCCAGTAAGCAATATATGAGACAATGCCTGGCATCGGCATATGGGACTGACCAATTGAGTGACATCGGTATTTAAAGGCCCCGCGCTTGTTGACCGGAACGGACCGTCTGCATTGGCCAGTTGCTAAATGTCGCTAGAGTTGTTGATACAAGGAACTCAATCTGCACACTAAGATCGGAATGTGATGTGATGCGCGTAGGGTTGACTTGGGTCTTCATTCCGATCAGAACAAGACTCCACTTGAGTCGATACTGGACATCGCCGAGCCAATACGCATACCAAAATCTTCAAAAGTTCTCATACGCGACTGAGCGAGTTACCAAGTTCAGACAGTATCTGCAAAGCTGAGCCCCCATCTGCAAAGCCGACACTTAAGTGCTTATCTCACATGCAATCGTCGTCGTCACCGCCAAAGTAAGAACCCTCGGGTTGCTCCGCTGGATAGATCTCGCATCCATCTCGAGGTACTACGAGCAACATCGTGTAAGACATCATGTTCTCGACCCCTCTTCTTGTAGCTCCATCCCGCCGAGATAGCTCGTGGACGAATCACGTCGAAAGTTGTGCCTGAGTTCTTGCTCCTTGTTTTCGTTCTCGCCGCGGCTCAGCTGTCAACTCTCCTGGATGAGAGATTGTATTGGCCGAGCAAAGTACACGCATACCAGGTTCCGTTGCACAGATGGCCCTTGATCAACATACGCCACTGACTTCAAGGCCTCAATGAGGGGACTCGAGTCTGTCTGTACATGGCGTAGTTGCTGCTCGTGAGAGAGACTGGCTAAGCAAATCTTCTATAAAAGCCGGGAGGATGGATTGTTAGTAGGAGGGTAGGAACCCATTCTTCATCTCCTTCACTCTTCTATCTCCCAAGCCAGTGTGGTCTTGGTTCTTCATCATGTCGTTCAATGAAAAGTTTCAGGCTGGAGAATCCTACAAGGACACCTCCAAGGAGGACCCTTCGGGTCTTCTCGACAACCCTGAGAAGCTCGTTGCGGACCTAATCAAGGACTATTCTGGTGTCCGGAGCCAAGCTAGCCCCGCTGATCTCCTGGCTCTTGTCAAACAGCTTCTCCAGAAGGGTCAGCCTCTTGATGACAAGAAGGGGTAAGTCATTTTGAACTCGAGTCAATTGCCATGTCACTAACAACTCCAGAACAACTGAGATGCTTATTGGCATTCTCACCGCCCTGCCTCGTTCTTCCAAGGCTCGCACCGCTCTGACAAACAAGCTCATTGACACTCTCTGGAACAACCTCCAACATCCCCCACTGAGCTACGTCGGTGGCGACGTCAAGTATGAGGTCGCCAACTCGGACAAGCCAGAGCATAAGGATCACTGCAAGGTATACGATACCATTGAGTTCAAGGTGCCAGGCACCAATGTTACCCTCCGAGAACAAGTCCCTCAAGCACCCGACGGTCTGCACCAGTACCGTATGCCTGATGGAAGCTTTAACAATATTCTTGAGCCGAACTTGGGCAGAGCTGGTACTCCTTATGCCAAGTCAGTCAGATCTGAGAAGCGTCTCCATGGTGTCAAGCCCGACCCTGGTCTACTCTTTGATCTTCTCATGGCTCGTGGTGAAGGCGACTTCAAGGAGAACCCAGCTGGTATCTCCTCCATGCTGTTCTACCACGCTGCCATTATTATCCATGACATCTTCCGCACAAACCGCACAGACATGAACAAGTCTGACACATCGTCATACCTTGATCTTGCACCCTTGTACGGTTCATCTCTCAAGGATCAGCTTGAGATCCGTACCATGAAAGAGGGTAAGCTCAAGCCTGATACCTTCCATGAGAAGCGTCTCCTGGGCCAGCCTGCTGGTGTAAATGTGATGCTTGTTCTCTACAGTCGTTTCCACAACTATGTTGCCGACATCCTGCTCAAGATCAACGAGAACGGACGTTTCTCGCTATCAACACCCCCCAATGCCTCTGAAGAAGACAAGGCGAAGGCAATTGCCAAGCAGGACCATGACCTCTTCAACGTGGCTCGTCTCATCACAGGTGGCTTGTACATCAACATCTGTCTTCATGACTACCTTCGAGCCATCACCAACACACATCACTCCGCCAGTGACTGGACTCTGGACCCTCGTGTTGCTATTGATAAGCAATTTGATGGCGACGGTGTCCCTCGTGGTGTTGGAAACCAAGTCAGCGTCGAGTTCAACCTCCTCTACCGCTTCCACTCATGTATCTCCCAAAGGGATGAACGTTGGATTAACGACTTCTTCCTTAAGCTCTTCCCTGGTCGCAAGGCCGAAGATCTTCAGGATGTCAGCTGGACCGAACTTGGACAGGCTCTTCTGACTTTTGAAGCCAACACTCCCAAGGATCCCAGTGTCCGAACCTTTGACGGACTCGAGCGTCAGGCTGATGGCACGTTCAAGGATGAAGACCTTGTTCGTATCCTCAAGACAGCTATGGAAGACCCTGCCGGCTGCTTCGGTGCTCGCATGGTTCCCAAGGCCCTCAAGGTCGTCGAAGTCCTTGGTATTATCCAGGGCCGAAAATGGCAATGTGCTTCTCTCAACGAGTTCCGTGAATTCTTCGGACTCAAGCGATATAACCAGTTCAGCGACATCAACTCAGATCCCGAGATTGCAAACATTCTCGAGAAGCTGTACACTGATCCTGACATGGTTGAGCTCTATCCTGGTCTCATGATTGAGGACATCAAACCCCAGCGCAACCCTGGATCTGGTATTATGCCAACCTACTCTGTTGGTCGGGCTGTTCTTTCTGACGCCATCACGCTTGTGCGATCAGACAGATTCAACACCATTGATTACACGGTGTCCAACCTCACGGCATGGGGTTACAATGAGGTCCAGCAGGACTACAAGACACTCGGTGGCTCGATGCTGTACAAGCTCATCCAGCGTGGTGTTCCCAACTGGTTCCCATACAACTCAGTTGCTGTCATGCAGCCCATGTACACCAAGAGCGCCAACGAGAAGATCGCCAAGGAGATTGGCACCTTTGACCAGTTTACAACGGCTGATCCCAAGCCACCGGCCAAGGTTGCTGTGACGATGTCCAGTGAAACCATCAAGAAGGTACTCAGTAATACCCAGCAATACGTGGTGCCCTGGCTCAAGCCTTTGAACGATCTGTTCCCAGGCAAGAAGGACTATGGTTTCTTCATGCTTGCTGGAGATGAGCAGAAGAACTACCAACACCGAGCCGACTGGCAAAAGGCAATGAAGAAGGTCCCCAATCTCCATGATGCTGTCCACACATTCATTGAGCGTGAGGGTGCCAAACTCATCAAGAAGGAGACCTTCACTTTCAAGAAGGGTCTAGACCAGATCGACATCATCCGCGATGTGGCAGTTCCTCTCAACGCACAGCTTCTGTCAGACATGTTCTACTTTGACATGCGCACCGATGAGAACCCCGACGGAGAGCTCGGTGCTGCTGAATTGTACCGCAGCCTTCTTGACATCCGAATTTGGGGCGTCAACAACAATGATCCCGCCCAGGCATGGAACCGCCGACGTCGTGCACAGGAGGGTGTCAAGAAGATATACGAGTCGACCAAGAAGCTTGTTGCTGAGGTCGATGTTGGACGTCCTCGGGGTATTGGCCTGATTTCTGCCGTTTCTAACAGAATCGGTGCCAGGTCGTACCTCAAGAAGGATTCGCTACGCTCCTGTGGTCTCAAACTTGTCGAGGAGCTTCTTGCACAGGGCAATTCGATTGACCATGTCACCGACAACCTCTGGCTCACCGCATTTGGTGGTATTGGTGTTCCTGTTACAACTGTAAGTTTGTGTGTCTAAGTGTGTTGCAATGTACTGATGATGGCATAGTTCTACGAAGTTTTGTCATTCTTCCTGCGTCCCGAGAACCAGTCCATTTGGGCCGAAGTCCAAGCTATTGCGCAGAAGGGCGATGAAGCAACACTTCACGCCTATGTCGCTGAAGCTCAACGCATGACCAGCTCTCAGCGCAACGTTCGCGTGTCCAAGGGATCGGGTGAAGTCGATGGTCAATCCATCACTCCCGGCACAGCAGTCGTTCTTATGCTTGTAAGTCATACCAAACGACTCGCCCCTCAACATATGTCTAACAATTCAACAGGGCGAGGCTGGACGCAACGCCAAGGAAATTCCGGACGCAGACAAGTTCAACGCTCAGCGCAAGGCCCAAGATGTTTCAGCTTTCAGCTATGGTCAACACGAGTGCCTTGCCAAGGACCTCGCCCTTGCCTTTGTTACCGGTCTTATCAAGCTTGTTGCTGATCTCAAGGAACTTCGACCCGCGCCTGGCCAAATGGGAACAGTCAAGACCATCCGTGTTGGTACTGAGAAGGCTTATCTCAACGACAGTTGGTCGTACCTTGGATTCGATGCTAGCAGTAAGTCTTTTGACCTCTCGACTGAGAGAATATGCTAACATTGTGATAGCTTGGAAGGTTCATTTCAACGGGCATGGAAAGGGTAACTTTGAAGGTGACAGAGTCCCGACAAAGAGCACCCCTATCCAAGAATACTACTCCCTGCTACAGAAGCGCAAGGATGAGATTTTGGGTCGATAGTGAACCATAGCAATTTCCTCCTCGAAGAGATAGTCGCATCGGCTAAATTGAACGAGTTTGAAGCTACCTCCAGATGGGTGCAAGAAGGATAGTCTTCTAAGTCTTAGGCTACTAAAATAAAGTAACCTAAGAGATAGCCTAATCTGATATAAGGCGACGAGATAATTTCGTCTCTTATGCTCTCGGCGGCCTATTCTTCCGATACCCGATGGCTAAATTATTTCTACTCATCTAGTGTAGATGAAAGAGGTTCAAGAACCTTTCTTGCCGCTTTAGTGATGGTCAAGCAGAGCGGTAGCTCATCTGTAGATGAACAGGCTGATTGATACGTGGGTGGGCAATCTGGCGCCATTGGAAGCGTATGCCATCTCGTCTGTCGATCTTCCAGTCGCTCGATAAACGAGATGAAGGAGTTATCTCGATGCTCCCGCATCCCAAAGATCTCTGACTTGACTGCACTGTACATCAAAAGCTTCCACTGCTCCGGTGGAACTTCGATCGGCACGGAGAGGGACCCATTGGCAGTATGCGAGTGGGTATCAAGAACCACTCTTAATCTCTCTTCCTTATCATTCGCTTCTATGGTTTTGGCATCAATTGACTTAATAAACCTGACATAGGACTCGGCGATACAGACGCATAAAATACCCAATATGCCCGCGTTTTGAAGGACTGACGAGTAGCGCAGTGGGCATTTCTGGCAGTCTAGGACATCCGCTGCACGCTCGAATGTATTCCGAAGAAGAGCTAGATCATCTGGTACCTTGAGCTCTGTACGAACTCCGAGTCTATTGAGAAGTAAGTAGAGAATCGAGAGGCATGCGCACGAGTCGTTGATGTCCGTTTGGGTAAGGATATCACTGTGGGTATGTGCCCTGTGGATGGATCAGTATAAGTGATTTTCTTAGTACGCGGAACTCACGGCATATTGCTCTCGTAATCCACCACGTATGGCGGTATAGAAGCACCAAGACCCTCATGGCGACTGCATTCATTTTCCTCGATAACATGGGTTGTAGCTGTTGTTCGCGCGGGCGATACTGCTGATGACAGCTGGGGCTCTTCCAAATGCATCGGGCTAGACTCTTCACGACTTGTGACGCTGGTGTTTTGACGACGAGTCCTTGGTCTCCCGGCACGTTTCTGGATTGAATAGACGCATTTCCGCTTTGTAGCGACACACTTTGAGCAAACTGGAATTTCACCCGAGCAACGGACCTTTCTCGTCCCTGGGAAGTACAGAGCATCTTTGAGTCGAGTACAAGGTAAAGGCAGAGTGTAGCTACTTACTACAAGGTTCGCACGAGGCTCTAGAACGATCAGCACAGGAGCCTTTGTTGGGAGTTGTTGGCGAGAGCATCGTAGCAAAGGCAATTGTTGATGATGAGGTAGACTTCGGATGAATTGTTGGTCTTGGTGAAGGATGGAATGTTCCGACGACATGAAATGCTCCGCACCGCCAGGAGCCTAAGAGACGAAATAGTTTAGTTATTTTAGACCAGCATTTAGGCTGCCTTATTCTAGCACCCTAATCCTTAGGACAATTCCAGTAGACCGCCAAAGGAAAACCACAAATTGCTCCGCTATCGCTAACGTTAGCGGCTTCCCAACAATCAGTCCCATCTAAAAAGAAATTTCTTGTCTTTTAATAAGATGGCCGAGGTTATTGCTTTCGGACAATTCTTGACGGAGGATTTAGTGGCCATGTTCGGTTGAGGCTCGATCATTATCCATTGACTTCATATAAGACTTCTTTCCAGTCATCTATCCCAGCATACTACCAGACCAAAAGACAATGGCCTACCCAAGCCATTCGCCAACAAAGGTTGAAGAACCCAAGACTTCCAGCAAAGAGGTTGATATGGGAGACAATGCGAGTAGCTCAGACGAAGAGCCAAGCCGATTGGTCATGGAGAGTGACTATGATGACTCTGACATGAGGATTGAGAGAGACGACGGCATCTCTCGAGTAGAGACAGGGAAAGAGAAGCAATTACAAGATGGTCGCTCGACTTTGGACCGCGTATTGAGTCGAACTTCGGCCGCAGACAAAGACCCTGGACCCCCTCCAGATGGCGGATTTTGGGCATGGGCGTCCGGTAAGTGCTTTTTACTCCCAGATTAAGCCAATTCCGATACTGACCTTATTAGCAATTGCCGGACATATTATGATGTTGAACTCATGGTATGAACCATCCTGAACATCCTCTTGTCGGAATTCGCAATACTGACGGAAAAATAGGGGATACAACAGTTCGTTTGGCGTCTTCCAGACCTACTACACCACCCATCTCCCCAATCCTGCAAGCCAGATCTCCTGGATTGGCTCAGTCCAGATCTCCGCCCTATTCTTTATCGGCACATTCGCCGGCCGCTTGACTGACGCCGGATACTTTCGTGCTACCTTTGCCGCGGGCACGTTCCTGACCCTCTTGGGTGTCTTCATGACTTCACTCAGCACGACCTTCTGGCAACTCCTCCTCGCGCAAGGCCTATGCACTGGACTTGGCAATGGTCTTATGTTTACCCCTAGTCTTGCTGTCGTTTCGACATATTTTAAGAGACGTCGAGCCCTTGCGTTTGGTATCACCGCCACCGGAAGTGCCACAGGTGGATTAATATTTCCTTCAATGGCGAGACAGCTTCTTGGTAAGATTGGGATTGCATGGACTGTCAGGGCGATGGGCTTGGTACAGCTGGTAACATTGATCCTGGCGAATTTGCTCTTGAGGCCCAGGATACCACCAAGAAAGTCGGGTCCCTGGGTTGACTTTGTGTCCTTCAAAGAGAAAGGGTACCTGTTCTTCGCCATTGGTATCTTCTTTGTAAGTTCATCGTCTAACATGGAAGACGAACACTTGCTAATTGGATTAGACCTTCTGGGGAACCTTTTTCCCGTTCTACTACCTTGCTTCCTTTGCAGTTTCGCAATTGGACAAGCCCTTGGAATACTCGGACGCCTTGAACCTTTTGCTCGTCGTCAACGGCGTGGGCATTATCGGCCGCTCACTTCCCAACGCCGTCGCACACCATTTCGGAAGCATTACATGCCTCGTACCCGTGACGCTCATCTCCGCAGTCTGCCTCTTCTCTTGGCCCGGTGTGTCCACATTGGGAGGGCTGTACGCCTGGGCTAGCATCTATGGCATTGTTGCTGGAGCATCTATGAGCCTGTTCCCACCAGCTTTGTCGGATCTGACGACTGACGTTAGTAAAACGGGTGTCCGAATGGGCATGATCTTCACGACTAATAGCATCGCGACTCTTACTGGGCCACCGATTGCTGGGATCATTATCAGGCAGGCCGGGGGCCATTACCTGGGTGCACAAATCTTTGCTGGCGCATCTCTCTTCCTGGGAAGCTTGTTTATATTCATGGCAAAGCGCTCATGCTGATTGAGTAGTACAAGAGGGTGTAAGAGTGCGTGTTAATAAACACAGGCGATGATTATGATGGAGTTAATCTGGAGTAGCACAATGTAATCAAGACGTTTGGTAGAATCGTAGCCTGTCAATTATAAACTCAAATGCAATAACCCTCCTCTGCCATGTATTGGCCTGGCCTTTACTGGAAGCCTGGAGCCGCTGTCTTGCTACTGTACATGTGATAATACAGATAAGTTCTCCAAGCAATCATCCTGTCGGCTAGGATTTTAACTTTACCAAAAGGCTTACCTTTAAGACCTTGTAGAAACCAAGGGGTGAAGAGGTAGTCAGCATGCCTCCATTGAACCTTACCCGAAGCTTGTCTTGATTTGACAGGCATATAAATACCAAGAGCGTCCACTCCCAAGCAGACATTAGCCTTCAACTCTCATCAACACACGCATTCTTCTAATTCATCGGCATTCAAGGAGCGCATATTGCCAACAAATAATATCCTTCCGCTTCGACTGACACACGCATTTCCCTTATCTGGACAATGGGTTCCTTCTTCGATTCATTGTGCAAATGTCTGTGGCCATCAGGACCATCGTATGATCTCTTACTCGACTCCGAGTCAGAGCAGCAAGGTCAGTACCTTCCCCATGTCGGCCACGCAGTCTCTAAGAAGAGTTTACCTTCAGGCACTGCTCCTTCCTGCCAGTACCCAGTCGATCCATCTATGGCTAGATTCGGCATTGAAGGTCGCTCTCCAACTTCCTGGCAAGTACTACTCTACTTCGCCTCCTATTGCGAGCGTTTGAGGAAAGGGAAACCCCCACGTGAGCCGAACTCAGACTGGTGCGCTGATCTTGACATCATCACAACAGACATCGTTGGATTGATGCGGGAAGAACTGTACGTGTCTCAAGATAATGTCAAGGTGCAAGACAACCATGTTAGATGGAGAAAACACCCAAGAGATCAGACGAAATGGATGTGGTACCGTCACTACACTCTCGTGCATCCCAAATGGTCAGGCCGACTGGTGTTGCAGACTGCGTCCTTTGAACTTGCCTCGAGATTTCGACTGGAACATCTTTCCGCGGATGGAGTTTGCAAAGCCCATGCTCAAGCTACGACCGGATTTGATAATTCTGTCTACTGGTACGAGGTACGCAGCCCACATGCTTCCAGAATGAACTTCATCCTCGATGATGAGCCCCTGCCAGGACTGTGGCCGTGGCCGAAGAAGGAGCATGACGGTCAAGAAGAAGATTGGGAGAAAGTAAAGTAGATCAACCTGCCTATCTGGTAGTAAGTAGACAGTCATCGACTTCCCCGAAAAGCTTCAAGACCATAGCAGTGCACCTTCCCATTGTGTTACTGAACTGAATACTTAATCGCTTCCTCGTCCGTCGTTTTCCCCTTTTTTCTTCTTCTTCTTCATGAACCAAAATGGCACCACTGTACGTCTTCACTCACTTTATACTCTCCGAGAGCCTTATGGGTACTAACATAGACGTCTAGTTTATATTCAACGACGACCGTCACGCGCCGCGGCTACAGCCGCCGCCCAGTCCCTGGGCCAGCCCCCCAGCCAGTCGCCCAAGACCAGGCTTCCCAGCCTCCCTCTCCCTCTTCCTCCCACCCCTCCACACCACAACCGTCTCCCCTCCCCCCTCCTCCGCCCAGGCCCCTGCGGATCCCCCTACCGCCGCGGCGGCAACCACGGCGACCCAGACCAATTCGTAAGTTTATCAGTCCCTTAGTCCCTTGAAAGCATAAGGGATGAAATGATTTGATTGCTTTATGAAAGCTTAGGCTAACACTCAGACTACTTTAGAAACCCATTCTGGTCGCCGATGGATGCCGTCGCCGAGATGGAGCATCCGTCCCCGGGGGAAGGGTGGAGTCTCGAGAAGATGGAGGTGGAGACAAGCAAACGGGAATGGGGTGGAGGTGGAGGTGATCTTGGGAAGCCTGGCCTCTGGGCACTGGTGGTAATCTTTGGGCTGGCCCTGTGGGCTCTGGTGGCTGCGGTCGTGGTGCTGGCGGTCGGATTCGCCTGTCGTTTGGCTCCTCTTTGTCTGGGTGATATATAATTATCAAGTATAATTATAAATATCAATACCATTGTCACCCCAATCAATATTTCCATCTTGTGCCATGTCGTGTGGTCTCAGTAGCCGCGCTAAGCGCCAGCCGCCAACCTGAATAGTATCATGCTTACTTCATGTCACAGGACCAGCCACGCCATCAGCTTCAAACTCCACCCCTCTTTGGCGTTCAATTTCTTAAACGGAGTCATCATCCAATTGTGTATACAGTATTCGAAATCACCTTTGCATAGGTAACCAATGCCTTCATTATCTAATACAGAGCGTAGCCAGCGATGGCCTACGCCTCTCAAACAAGTACATCGCTGGTTCACTGCCGGAACGACCGGAACGAATTATCACCAACGCGAACCCTACCCTCTAAACTTTTGGCTCAGTACTCTTGCTCTGTTCTTGGTAGGACTTGGTTCTAGGCTTCTTACTTATCCATGGCCGAAGCTATTGGAGACTTCAGTGTGTCGATATTACTACGAAGAAGATGGATATCACGGGGAGCCTTCACCTGAGTTCTGCGCAGATGAGAGGGTAACCAGGCATTGGTTATCTTTAGTCCGGTTGATGCAGCTCTTGTCACCACTTGCTGGTTAGGGAAAGATAAGTCCATGCTGTTTGTACGCATTCTAACAGGTCCTAGCTACCGTGGCTCAGATTCCCATGGGAATCCTCGTGGATAAGGGAAGAAGACGTCTGGCCTTCATACTCAACATCACCAGCACTGTCTTGTACTGGGGCTCTATTACGATATTTGGTATTCCCTTGCTTGATGTGCACCTTCGACGTATCATACTAACATTGTTAGAGGCCTTGTACGAGTCTTCCCTCTGTGGTCCTTTTATGTTTCACCTGTTTTTCTGCTTGCCGGTGGTGGCCCTTGGGTCACGAGCAGTCTTGTCTATGCTACCGTAAACAATACTGTGAGACCAGAACAGAGGTACAGCCTAAGACTCTTGGATTGAAATTTGAAAGACAACTACTAACTAGATGTCAGAACCACTGCCTTTTCGTTTCTGGAAGGACTTTCTGGGCTTTCTGGACTCGTGGCGCCTCTAATCTACAATGAAACTATGAGTCCCGAACTCTGGGTTTCATACATGCTTGCTTTGGTTTTCTATTCACTGGCTCTGGTACCAACACTGTACATCACACATGATGATGACCCAGGCATGGGGAATGAGGTAGGGGAAGACGAAATACCGGAAGAAACGGAGCCACTGCTCAGTACTGGTAATCATTGCGCTCGCGAAGCCATTCTTTCGAATCGAAGTGGCGAGAGGAGCCTTGCTCCGAAACTCAACATCTTCATTATATGCTTTGCGTGTTTCTTTGGCTTCCATCTTGCCAGGGGATCTATTAGCTACACCATTGTTTGGGTTTGGTTATCGTTTGGCCACAATGCGATTTACGTATGTTTCAAGCTCATTGCAACTCTACCGTACCTACTAAGACTCCACAGACCGATATATTCACTTACATCCGAGCCGTTGTGCTCTTTTTCCTTCTCCTTATCGTCCTCCCTTTGGCCAGTTCGCGATTGGACAAGACCTGGCGAGTCGCAAAGAGAGACCTTATTCTTTCCTCAACTTGGATAGCTCTCTGTGCAGTCGGGACTCTGATAGTCTTGGTAGCGCCGAACCTGGCGGTCGCTATCGTCGGGTTCATCATTGCCACTTTAGGCTACGCCATGCCTATCTCTCTTCGGTCGTTCATTGCTTCTCATTTTGAGGAGAAATTCTCCGGACGTCTCTTTGCTGGTATCGGTGTGGTGGAGAATATTGGTTGGCTTATCGGTTTCCCTTTGATGAAGGCAAATTACTATACCGAGGGTACACCCTTTGTCGTCTCACTGGTATGAAATCACTTGGACCCTTTGAAGTTATACGATCGCAAGACAGGCTAACATGAGGCTAGGTTACGTACGCGGTTATGCTTGTATTACTTATCAGGCTAGCTATTAAGATCTGATGCTACAGAAGAATCATATGGTATATGCACTAGCTGGAGCTCCGCAGCTTCAATTTGGAATCAAACGATAAAAGGACGATAGATAAGGATATAAGTGCCCTTGCATTTCTTTATTTACCATGAAGCCAAGGCGTGAAAGGTGTTGCTGGACTGTTCTTTTCTATTGATCAAGCTGGGACATTATTCAACTAATGTCTTGGGGATTTATATATATTGCCGACAACTGATTATGTATTTTATGTTATATAGTAGCTTGTCGTTACATAGCAAGATGTTTCTATGACTTCCGATCCCACATGTTAGCATCACCAGCTACCTTGTCCGCAATGTATCAGAACAATTAACCTTCGTAAGCATAAGAGACGAAAAGCTTTAGTCATCTTGGACGAGTTTAGACTGGCACTGATGTCATTTTATCTCTGTAGCCTTGAGTCTTGGATGATAATTCTTCTGTCACCAGCCTGCTTGTGCAAGCCTCGGAGTCATGATGCCTTAAACTTGCAACTTTGTTAAGGGAAACTTCAAATTACATTATCCCGAGCGAAGAAGAAGAGCAGATTTGGGAAAATTTGAAAGATTTATCTTCGGTGATTCTATCTTGGTTCCGAGGCTACTACAGTGAAGGACCTAAACATAAACAGTCTTCGTAACAGTAGGTCTAGCCGCCTCAACAGTGACAGCTGAAGCTCCTGCGCAAGAACAAGCAGTGAGATACCTCGGCTCTCCAGAACAGGCACTTGCATAAGTAGGAATGGACTTAGTCACATAGACAGTGCTAGGATAGTTAGCATGAATGCCCACAACGGCTGGAGTACCAGGTACTTACCTAGCCTCAGGAGTGGTGGTCACTTTGAGGTAAGCTTCACACTCAGCCTTGTAAGAGGCAATGACTGCTGGGCCGCGGTGGCCAGGGACAACGGCGCGAGCGCAATTATCACCGCATTGGCCGGTGCGTTCTTGGAGTTCTCTGGGAATGTTGATAGCCAGGACTGGGGCGATGAGAGCGGCGATGAGAGTGAACTTCATGATCAAGGTATTGCTTGAGTTGTAAAGAAAAGAGTTAAGCTTGGAAGAATGCTCACGGATGTCAGGTCGCTCTGCTGAAGGGACTCCAATAACTCTTTATAGACAATCCCAGCTCAGTTGAAGTTCAGCTCCGCTCTACAAAACCACATCCCCTGAACAATATCCCATCTAGACCCATATTCAACTCCAACGGTCTGGTATGTTTAAGCTAAAGCCAAGAGTCTGTCGCCTCTTCTTCTCAGCCTTGCAGGCTTTTTATCGAATAGCGCAACAGTTAGCCAAGATCTAAACGCCACTGACCCAACCGTCAAAGGGGCATCAGCTGTTACCAGCACGATCTAGATGCCAAAAGGCAGAGGACAAACCCAATAAGGGAATAGTATAACGGTCCAGGTACAATACCAGGCAATGTTTGTTACACCGCATGACAGGTTTGGGTAGAGGCATTATTAAATTATGGAAAGTAGAGGGAGGCTATTTAAAGTCTTGGTCCACGGGTTCCGGATTTGGAACAATGAGTGGATTCAGGGTCTTGTCAATCAGAGCTGAGAGGTCAAATAAGGAAAAGCCGTCAAAGAGGGTCTTGAAAGGGAAAGGAAAAGTCATTGACAGGGTCGTGCTGTCAGGTACGTTACTTCAATTGAGTGAGGTGCATAATGTGGCTGCATGAAGGGTCGTCGGGAAGTCAAAGGACTCGATAGCTTCATTTTTTCGATCTTGTCCTCTACGGAGACAGCGGAAGTCGGGTGGGAGGTGGAAAACGTATCACAAAAAGCTAGTTCAGTAGCGAAAGCATCAATTACTATACTAAAAGAATAGGTGAACTACCTATCCAGGCTATGTAAAATTACGAGAAGTTTAAAGACGATGTTCCGTGAAGCGGAACATCCGGGACTTGACTGTGCAGTGGGGGAATGATTGACTCAATCAATCTCCTCCACCGAGTCAGTTTGACAACCTGCCTTTGAGGAGGCCCTCGCGGTTCTTGCCAAGCAATAATACCTATCCTCAACTACATATCCATACCATCACGAATGCGTAAAAAGTTAGCATATCGTTCTAAAGTCCATCGTCGCGATGCCTTACCCCAGACAGCCATGGGAAGAGAAGTCAGGATAACGACAAAGCTCAGAACACCAAGCTCAACAAAGGTGTTTTGCAAGCCAGTATCAAGCCAGTAGCTACACACGAAGGTGAAAATGGTGGCGATGGAGTTATTAATAACAGCCACGCCCACCATGCCCTCTAGGACCATGTCCGGGTAACTATCGGCGAGGTAAGTGATGCTCAGATCACCTGCGCAGCCGTACCCGAAGCCGATGAAGCCCAGGGCGACGTAAGGAACGGGCCAGTCCCAGTGCTGAGCTGATCCGATACCAAATAACCACATACCCAAGGGAAAGATGATGACGCAAAGAACCATGAGGTAGAGACGGTACTCAGCCTCCATGACACCCTTATTGCGCTTCGCCATCCAGAGAATGAACTTGTCGCTGCAGTATCCACCGTAGAAACAGCCAATTACACTTCCAATCAGAGTCGGAATGTTCATGTTAGCGACAGCTGAGTCGCTGTAGTTATAAGGTTCTCTGACCCAGTAATCCTCCTCGACAGTAAGGTAGAATGACAGCGCGATGTTCTGCATTCCCCACTGCAGACCAGCGTACCAAACTGCGGGAAAGGAAAAGATACGCATGGTATGCCACAGGCGGTGGACGTATTGCTTCAAACCCAATCCGCGCAAGTTGGACGCCGGTGTGATGAGGGCAATACGCTGCCAGTACGACTTCTTGCGTGCGAACGAATCAGAGAGTCTGTTGCGTTCAACCTCTTCGCGTCGTCGCGCAGAAGCATCGCGCGCAATGTCTGCTTCCTCATCGACAGGCGCATTGATACCCTTCTCCGTTGCGTCCTTGGTAATTACGTGGTCGCCATGATGGGCAGGAATTGGCTCGGCGACACCTTCAACATTGCCTCGGACAGCGTCGCGCTCCTCAACGAGCTCAAGGTCAATATAGCGACTGCGCTCGAAGGCTGTCTCCTCGAGACCAAAGTAGAAAAGAAGCAGAGTAAAACCCGACGCGATAGCACCCATGTGACCAATCCAGCGCCAGCCAACATGTTCAGCCAGATAGCCTCCAATCAGAGGTCCAATATAGGTACCGACTGTTGTCGCAAGGGTATACATACCCAGCGAAGTACCATTCTGGTGCTCGAACCAGATATCTAGCAGAGAAAGCTGCACAACTGCCTCGGCGACAGATTCAGAAGCCCCAACGAAAAGCTGGGACCAAACCGTGTCGGCCGTGTTGGTCAAATGACCAAACCAGATATTTCCAATAAGACCCCATACCGTCCCTACCAAGTATAGAATACGACGTCCGTAGAGATGGGTCGCAGGTGAACTCAGAAGCGTCCAGTATCCAATTGCGACAAAGAGTACGCCCGCGCCGGTGTTGAACACATCGTAGCTAATGCCATATTTCTCGTTCACGCCAGTACTGGCAGCGCCGGCGACATTCGAGGTAGCAGCAGTCAAAGCGACGATGTAACACACCAGAAAAGAGTGCCAGATCTTGCGCGCAAGACTCCAGTTCAATGGATCGTTGGGAGACTTTGTCGGAGACGGAACGAGAATGACATCGCCGTGTTTTTCGACACCGGTATCGTTGGAGGCGACGCTTGCCCTTTCGTCTGTAAATAGACGGCGTGTGCCTGGAAGGACTTCATCAAGATCGCGAGCAGACGGGACGGCCATCCGCGTCGATTTGCAGTGGTGGATGTAGGTGGAGTTTTGTATTTATCGTCCTAGGGCAAACGGCTCCTCGGAGCCGCATTCACTCGCGTTAGGGAGGATAGGTATGGGTATGTAGGATATCGATCGAGAGTCAGCAAGACATTGTCCAATATGCTAAAGAGTCTGTAGACCAGAGTAACAGCAGTAGCGGAGGGGGGAGGGGAAGGGTTTTCCCTCTTATACTACCATCACCCAACCACGCCCGCGATCTCCATATTAGATGACCTTTTCTCTAATAGCCCCCACTCAGGTTTGAGAACGAAACCCTTGTCGGGCCGCAATGGGGACAACGGAGCGATCCCCCAAAAGGCAGAGCGTCTTAAAACTGTGGTACGTTTGTACGGGTTTAAGCTGTTGATGTCATGGTGGACGGGTCTTGCGGGTGAAGGTGTGAAAGACGGCACACCACTTCCGTTGTGGGAGATAAGGTCGCGTGCATGGACATTGGACGATCAATGATCCTTGGGGCGATTTTAACAGTTGATAACGGCCTCTCCGCTATTAGACTAGGCAAATCCTGTTATGCTGCATCGTTGCTTAGACTTTGACAGGCAAGAGGGAGATATTGAGACTTGTTTCGCCGCGTTGATGTCGCGAGGAATGTTTCGATGCGCTGCCATTGACAGACAGGGTTAGCTGGTAGCTTAGTCACCCAATCATCACGATCCGAGAATAAACCCAAAAACGGCTGTACAGCAATATCAACGCCATCGAATTACCACATTCAACTTTGAACCCCCTTAATCCAAGTTATTTCCTCTACTGTTGTCCGCAGGTAAGAAAAGTGTTCATGATGCGATTATTGTGTCGTTTAATTAGCGCACAGAAGGATGTAAAATGTCGCATGGTCAAAGCCTTCCAGCCCCAGGTCAAGGGCCAGGATTATCGCAGCCCAACGAACTGGTACTGAAGGAAAGTATCATGATCCTGACGTCTTTGGAAAGAATCTTAATTCCAGAAGTTTGTTATGTGTGAGCTTATATCTTACTTCGTATTCTTCGTCAAATATCGCTGTGGTATCAAAAATGTCCTGTTTTCCCATGATCCCATCTCAACCAAATTTAGACCATCAAAAAGTCCACATTCAAATCTTTGAGCTTCTTCACCCAGTTCATATACCCGTCATCTTGAGTTTGGTTCTTCCATAAGATCTGCAGTGTATCGATCGCAGAATATAGAAATCCCCAAGGACATATTGCTGCTACCATCTTCAATCGATCCATGACCCAGGCGCGGGACTCCGGAGTCGTTGCCGTCGTTCCATAAATAAAGGTGGGCCATCCTGTGGCTTTGAAGTTTGGATCCTCGTCAGGCAACGGTAGGAGCGTCTCGTAAAGATCCTGGATGAGACTTTTGCAAACTTGATCCGGCATCCTGGTGCGCAACGCAGGGGATGACTGGATGATGTAGAGGCACGTTGCCAGTCTGTGCGCGGAACCAGTACGGCAACTGCTCCAGAGAGCTACTTCGTTTGAATCAGGCACTCTGTCCTTTGCCCATTGGAGCACGTCTAGACGTTGTGCACGATCTAGCAGGTTGGTGAATTCAACCAGAGCTTCTTGGCCAGAGACGCTCCCCTGTGATTCAGTATGTAGTAGCTGTGCCGTTTCCCGGAGAATATCGAGAACCTCGGGAGGACAACAGAAGAATGAATTGTTTGTCCTGGAAAGTGTCGAGTTCACTTGACTTGGAGCAAAAGACGCCGCTTGCGTGCCTGGTGTGGACGGGTTGAAGGATAAACTCAGAGTGCAATATCTATGATGGAAATAGTCAGCCACTAGTCTACCATAAATCCGAATACTCTCCACTTACACATAGCAGTCTGCTACTATATAGTCTCGCAATGTTGTGTCGAAGCTGGCATATGGCTCCATCATATTCAAAAGCTTCTTCGCACCCTCAAGGTGAGGCCGCCAACTCTGCCAACCCGATTCGATAAGCTCCGAGTTAATAAGAAACAAGACAGTAGCAAGGATCACATCGGCTCCAATAGTGTCAATATTGCGAAGTGCTTCGGGCATCATTTGTAATCCTTTTTGTTTGGCAACGAGAGCGTCCATAAGCAATTTCTTCGGTGCCTCTTTTCTTGTATATGAGTCGGGACCTAGCCAGGGTCTTGACAAATTACACATGTGAGCCGCAGATACTGCAATAATGATTTGTTGTAAGAAGGCATGTTCATTTGTGAGTTGTAAAAGGTTAAGATATGGATTTCTGTTGCTTTTGGTTTGTTCATCACCGACAAGATCCAGGCTGACTCGATTTGAAACTGAGTTAAGGGTTAGCATGCTAAAAGACCGATGTCTCAAGTGAAGTCATACAATAATTCAAATACCACCGTTGCGAATGCGTCATATCTTGAAACAAAGGATCAACCAATGTCCATGGTGAGCCTGATGAGGTTGGTGATGGGGGTGAAGGAGGAGACCATGGTTGCGATTTATCTTGAAGGACGAGTTGATTTTCTTGAGGTGACGCTAAACTCCATGCACCGGATTCGAAAGTTGGTGTATCGAGAGAGTCTGTTTGCATATCGGGAGATATCTCCGTGACTTCTGCTTCACCTTGCTTCGGTAGACGACACACAGAAGCACTGGAGCTTTGTCCGGCTAGCTTCCCTCGCGTGGCAACTGAGCCGGTCCATAGGAACAGACGGCCATAGCCTAAGCACTCAACCCCCCTAGAAACGCATTTGGTGCAATGAGGAATAGACTTGTCGCAGCGTAGTCGAGCCCGACGACAACTATGGCAGGCTTTCTTAGCCAGAGGGGCGTTACTAGCAGTGATAGTTTCGGTGTCGGGGGGTGAAGATGACATCGGATATATGAGATGAGATGCGAGTTTCAATTGAGACCTTGCTCCCCTGTGCTTATTAAGGCAACTAAGGTTCGGAGGCGATTCGGAATTATGCAAGAGAGCGTGTATCAAGTCAAAAAACAGTTGTTGTTCATGCGCAGAGTCTTGTTGGCCAAAATGGGTATACTTTTGTTGATCTTGTAATCCTGGCTCTCGGTTTGTAAGATGTTTGGTTGACTTTCCATACTCGCAATCCCAGGCTACGGAATGTCGAGGAACTGAGATTGAGGAGTTGATGCCTGATTGTCAAGGCTTCAATCTCGGCTTAAGCGGAGACTTGTCCAGGCATAACCGCGAAAAAGATCTGGAACACTAAATGATGACCTACCCAATGAAGCTAAGTGGCGGTACATTCTTTGTCTTTGGTACCAACCCCAGCGTATGAATGGATGTCGATACGTAACTGAAATAATGCAGAACGTTGACGAGCTGGGGTTTTAGACTCTTTACTGTTTCAATATTCCATTGTCAGGTTGGTGGTTCCTCCTTGCCAGTTTTATTGTCCCAGATGTACCGGCTCGTGATTGGATATATATACACCTGTTTCCAGACCAAAATTCACAGACCCGTCAATGGTCGCGGTTTATACGAGCTTGCTGGAGCGAAATTGTTCATGTGATCGGAATCGTTAATTAATTGAGTTCACCCTTGCGAATCTGGTATCTCCAAAATCTGGAATAAAAAGTCTAAAAAACAAAGAAAGTCCCGACGCTCATTGGGATTCTACCAAGAGCTGTATCTCCGCTATGCTGTTAAAGTCGCCCTACCCTGAATGACTAACATTTCTGGTCACCATTGCAACCCGAGTCGCTATTGGTCCCAGAATCATACATATATCTCCCAAACACAAATTGCTCAACGTCAGTGATTTCCTTCCTGAATTCCTTTGGAACCGTTCGACGGAAGTAAACTCTCTTCGCCCACTTGTACAACTCGGCCCCAGCAAAGAAAATACCAACAGCGATAAACACAACAGCCCACTCCCAATCGATAGGGCTGTGCATGAATACCACACGGTTGATCACAGGAATATACAACGTAGGTGGGATAAGAACAAAGCTGAGAGTGACAGACCAGAACAGGAAAGGGTTTTTCCAGAGTCGTCTTGTCCAGGCCTTGAAACTACCGCCGTCTTCAAAGATTTCTGCAAAGAAAGAACGGCGAAAATCAACTAATTGCCAAGCGAAGAGAAGGAAGTCCCAAGTCATGACTGTGAAAGCTGTCGACCGGGCCGAGAAGACCGTTTCGCAGGATTCGGAGTATGTGCTGTTGCAATCGTGGCCGAGACCTTGATTGTTGAAACCGAAGAGGATGATGACAGAGGAGCCGAGAATACTGATCAGCATCATGACACCGTAGGCTCCAAGGTCAAAAAGGAACTCGGGAGTGAAAACGCCATATTTGAGCTGTGTCTTTGATTAGCTTGATTATCAAAATGGTCCATGGGGGCGACTTACACTCTGAGGTGGCCGGCGGAGAATGTCCGGACTAGCTTGCTCAAATCCAAGACCAGTCTCCGTAAAAGCTCCAGCGACAAGTAACATCCAGATTATTTCCACAGGAGTCATAAGAAAGACAGATACTCCACTTTCATCCTTGAATGCCAGCCCAGCAAGAAGAGAGATAACAAATGCGACATTGGCTGCGAGCACATGAAGAATGAATTTTTGAACATTATCGAAGATTCGACGTCCTTCCTCGACTGCATTGAGAATGGAAGCAAAGTTGTCGTCCGACAGAATAATATCAGCGGAGTCTTTGGCGACATCTGACCCATTGAGACCCATTGCGATACCAACGTCTGCGCGCTTCAAGCTAGGGCTGTCGTTTACACCATCGCCGGTCATAGCAACATAGGCACCACGTCGGTGCAAAGCTTCGATCATACGAACTTTTGTCGTAGGTGAGCAACGAGCGACAACACGAGGTAGCTCGGGCAAAGCATCAAGATCAGCGTCGGAGAGATGATCGAAATCATGAGCTGCCATGACCATAGCATCGGCGACATCGGCGCGTATCATCTGCATCCTTTCGGGCGAAGGAATGATACAAACATCGGCAGCGATGGCCCGAGCAGTTTCAGGATGATCACCGGTGAGCATGTGCACGATAATGCCGGCTTTCTGGCATTTTTGAACACTACCACGGGTTTCGGGACGGGGAGGATCGTAGATACCGATGAGACCTCGGAAAACAAGATCTTTCTCGAAATCGGCCCGGTTCATCGCGGAAGATAGGTCCTCAGGTAGGTTGGTGACAGGTGACCGGCTGGCAAGAGCGAGGACGCGAAGGCCGAGGCGAGCAAATGCTTCCATATTTTGCAGAATAGACTCATGAGCTGCGTTATCAAGTGACACAATTTCTCCAGAGACGTCCATAGATACGCAGCTACTAAGGACACGTTCAACTGCACCCTTAGTGAAGATGTGTTTCTCATCGGTAGCTGTATCTTGGAAGATGACCGACATCTTCTTGACATCCGAGTCGAACGGGAACTCGGCGAGCTGCTTCCATCGCGGATCAGGACCAGATAAAAGAGACATGCGATTCCAGTTGAAGCGAGTCACAAAGACCTGAATAGCAATTTCTGTTGGATCACCTTGCACTTGCCATTCCTCAGGGCCGCCGTCCTTGCTACCTTTCTCCACGACAGCCACATTGGCGAGAGAGGCTATGTTCAGATAGTGCTCGAGGCTTTTGCTGGCTTTGGCCTCTTCCAAGGAGTCGATTGAGTGAGATTTTGACTCCCCTCCGGGAGCAGGCAGTTCCGAGGGTTGGACGGGAGTGCAATTAATGTCGCCGACAGTAGGATTATAAGGTTCGTTCGTAGAAGCGACAGAGTACGTCCCTTGTCCCGGAACCCAGGCCATTCGAACAACCATCTTTCCTTGAGTAAGAGTACCGGTCTTGTCAGAGCAGATATCTAATCCAATATTAGCCAGAATCACAGAAGGTTCGTGGATTGATACTTACTGGTAACTCCACCAAGAGCCTCCAAACTCTGCATATTGCTGACGACAACCTTTCGATCCGCCATCTGTTTGGTTCCGGCAGCCATAGTAATAGTCAACACTAGGATCAAGGAAACTGGGAGGGTTCCCACGGCTGTTGCAACAGCATAAATGATGACATCCTTTCGTGGGTCGAATTTATTGGCTGCCAAGACAATGATAGCGCACAGGACAGCAAAGGCGAAAACGTAAAGGAATAGCTTGGACAGCTTTCGTTGCAGCGGAGTTCCAACGTTGAGGCCGAGAAACTCGCCAATGATATCGGAGGTTGTTAAAAGCCATTTGGTAGCATAAGCGCCGAATGAACTTCTGCCGTTCTCGTCTTTTTTGACCTCTCGTTTCTTCCGTCCAGTGCCCTTGATTGCAGCTGCGATTACTCCAATCTCGGTGTAAGACCCAGTCGCAAATACAACGCCCTTTCCACGACCTTTTGTCACAGTGGTGGAACTGTAGCAGACATTGAGCCGATCACCAGGCCCAGTATCGTCATCGAATGCCATCGCTGGGTTCTTCCTCACAGGCATTGATTCTCCCGTGAGTGAAGCCTCGTTGGATTCGAAGTTGGAAACCTCAACAAGTCTAATATCAGCAGGCACAGAGTCGCCCATCTTGAGGTTTACGATATCGCCAGGTACAATTTCGCTGGTTTGAACCGTGATGGTCTGTCGATCTCGGAAGACGTTCGCTGTAGGTTGACTGAGTGACTTTAAAGAGTGTACTGTTCGAGCCGCTTGAAGGTCTTGGACAAAGCCGATTATGATATTGAGGAGGATGATAATACCTAGGGCACCGCCTTCTATCCAAGCTTTGATGCCGAAACTGGCGGCCAAAGCAAGGATCAACACCTATAGAAGTTAGTCGACGCCATCCACACCACACCGTTCCATCTTACCAAGGTCATGCAATTGCAAATCTGAGCAATGAAGATTTTGATGGGTTTGATACCCTCTTCCTCGCCAAGGTCATTGGCGCCATACTCGACAAGCCTTCGAGACGCCTCAGCAGCGGTCAATCCAGTGTCTGGGTTGGTGCTGAGCTCTTGGATGACGGTCTGCGCGGAAAGAGCATGTGCTGGACGCGGCAAAGGCTTGTTGGACTGCCCAGAGATATGATCCTCCATGATTGGCGGTAATTCCTTGGGCGACATGGTAGGCTGCCAGGCGCAAGGGAACCCAAAGCTGCAAAGTGTTGCGTGGAGTGATGGTCGAAGGTTGAATTCGGGTTTGAGAAAATTCTAATAAGAGAAGTATTCGTTATAAGTCTGCGTACTCAAACTCAAACCGCAAGAGGCTCAAATCATGACCAGTAGTGCCCTCAGAAAGTGGCACAAAAGGACATCGACACCATATTGGTCTTTTATAATGCTGGGTCACCAGCACAGCATAGGTTTCGGAAATGCGCAATTGACTTGACCAGAGCCATATGGGGATGCCAAGAACCATCATACCCTCGTCAGCTAAACCGAGTGAAGCAATTCTTGCCGTCCTGTACTTCGCTTCTTGAGAAATGGGGCTCGGCTTGAAGAATCGACGTAGATAGATCCAAACGAGACCGGAAATCTTGGCAGCCACGGATTCCGAAAATCCCATTCCTCCGCTGTGACTCTTTACCCTCTGCATCTGCAATCCCATGTTCCGATTTTAAGTCTTGATATCCCGGTTCGAAGTCTTAATTTCCGAGGGAATGTCGTGCCAAACAGTCATCAAGCTCGAAATTGATCCGCGTGGGTCTAGGCTTAATCGGTGAACCAAACATTAGCGTAGTATACAATGCTCCTATTGGCTGGAAGCCGATGGTGAATGTGGAAGACATCCATCGAAACGTTCTCTGTGGGTTACCGAAAAGGGTATTTAACAGCGAGCAGGTGTTGACTGAGCAATTGACATTTAAGCTTATCCGAAAGGAGGATCTGTGCTTCCTCATTGCGCATATGTAGACAAACGAGACGACGGTTAAGGTTGAAAGAATTGGCTTCGATCATTAATAGTGGATGTTTGGAGTTGTTTTTTTCTTTTTGTCTCTCCAATCGGTGGATCTAATCTTTTATGCCATTCGTTCTTTCCATTGTTCGTAATGCCAAAGATTGCTCTTTCTTTTCGCCAAGGTGCATCAAACACCGCTTACCTGCATTACGTCATTGTGCCTTAAGAACCGTGATGCTCTTTCACAGGTTGCTGCAGCTGGGCTCGTTGTGCTTAATAATACAGAAATGTCAATCTGACGCCCTTCATAATTGGTAGTTAGGGTAAATCTTTGTTGGTATTTTGGCAGACGATGTGTTACAATTCTTACCTCAGTACGCTTTAAACTCGAACTGCTCGAGGTTGCACATTTCGAATTCCACTTTTTCAAACTGAACTACCTGTGCTGTTGGCATCGTCACCATGGTCAACCTCCCATCGCCTTTCAGGGAGATCGATCGTATACAATTGACATTCGATCGTCCTACAGACATCGAACCGCTATCCCGTATCACAGAATCTTATAACAGCAAGGTTAAGCTATGGATAGCTCGAGAAGACCGCAATTCTGGTCTTGCTTTCTCTGGAAACAAAGTCCGCAAACTTGAATATGTGCTGGCAGATGCTCTGGCACAAGGAGCAGACACCATTGTCACCACAGGCGGCATCCAATCGAATCATATGTGTCAGACTTCTGCTGCTGCAGCTCGACTTGGCTTTGAAGTAGGTTTGAGGTATTCTGTCACGATGAACTTGAATTGACTGTTCCAAAAGGTTGCTCTCTATCCTGAAGATCGAGTGGCTTCCGACGACAAGGAGTATAGATATCTCGGTAACATTCAAGCCAACGATATCCTCGGTGCCGAGACCTTCCCTGCAGACACCTCTGAATCTACTGTCATGGAAACTCTCAAACGCCGCGAGAGAAAGCCATATTTCATTCCGCCTGGTGCTAGTTCTCATCCCCTTGGAGGCTTAGGCTATGCTCGATGGGTGTTTGATCTTCTGGAGCAAGAAACGAAACTCGATGTAACCTTTGATGCCATCACCCTCGTTGCCGGATCCTGCTCAACCCTAGGAGGTATACTTGCAGGACTCAAGCTTGCACAAAAGCAGAAAATGCCAGGTTCCAAGAAACGGCTCATCGGAATTTCAGTCATGCGTGAGGCCGAGCAGGATGTCAAGAATCTGGTGCTCCAGATAGCCAGGACCACCGCATCGAGGATAGGAGTTTCTGTGGATGATATCACTGCAGATGACTTTGAAGTTCACACATCTTACTTGGGGGAAGGATATGGGAAGCTTAATGACTCAACGGCCGATTCGATGAAGAAGCTGGCCAGAATGGAGGGAATCTTGACTGATCCTGTGTATACGGGTAAGGCATTCACAGGATTGCTTGATATTATTGACAAGGGAGGATTGGATGGTGATAATGTTCTGTTTCTCCATACTGGAGGGCAGAATGTTCTCTCGGCGTACCCACAACTCAGGTAACCATTTACTCTGGGCTATCCAGTCTCTAATCCTATCGGGGTGGTATGTTTTGATTCGGAACAGCGTAGGGAAAGGTGTTGTACGGTTCAGGATAGGCTAATCTCAACGAATTTCTTGTTGACCTTACTACACTCAAGTCATAAGCCTACAGAAATCGATTCTTTTTGTTGTTATAATCGAATGACAATTTTGGAGTTCGTCTGTAGTCAAAGGTATGCCTTTGCCTTCTTCTTTTTAAACCCGCCTACACAATATACTTTCGAAGCCACAAGTGAAACATATGTTCTTAGAACTCATTATCATTAGACGGCACTTACAGGAAATCTGTAACCTCAAAAATCTACATCTATCTAGCCTTCAAAGCACAGTCCCATATCTTTGACCAAATCCTCAGCTCCGATAACTATGCCACCCGTCTTCACATCCTCAACCCCAAAACCCAGAAACATTTCATCACCAATAAATCCATGATATTTCTGCTCTTTGCTCTTCCAGCTTATCGATGTAACATAAAACATATCCGAAGTCGATTTCTCAGGATATTGCTTTCTGCCATGAATCCAGATCGGTTTCTGGGATATCGCGTGAATTTCGAAAGGAGCACGTTGCTTGAAAAGCATGACATAGGGCTCATAGACGCTGTGGTAGTTGAAGTATGATTTGTGCTGGAAGATCGCCATGACAAAAGTGTTTTCGTCGTTGGGAACACACATGGGTTCGTCACGACGACACATGGTGAGCAAAAGGGAGTTGGTCGCTTGGTGGATGGATTCGAGATTAGAGGTGAGTTTGGGCAGATACTTGGCCAGACACTGCTCATCACCTAGTGCAGCAGGTGCTAGATCAGGACCGGCTGAGCCATCAGGGTTGATTTGAGAAAATACTCTTTTAGGAGTAATATCATAATGGGTGTACATGTTGCCGCTGGTGTCCCAGAACAGGAAGAAGTTCTTCTCCATTGTATGCCATGGCGCGGGTCGCTGAAGCTCGGTGCCGAGTCTGAACTCACTCAAATTGGCCATGTCGCCTCGCCAGTTGACCAATGTGCGGAAGTCTTGCACGAACTGACCAATACAAGTAAAGAACGAGGTCGATCCGTATGTTGTGTAGGGCTTCTCAGGACCGTAGAAGACGCGTGCATCATGAGGACCCAAACTCATATGAAGATACGCCATCTCCCCATTACAATTGTTTCCTCCCACCGTTGAAGTGACTGGAAGAGTTACTGGTGTGTGGAGACAGGTAAGGGTATCATCTTTGAACGCAGCGTCGCAGACAAGCTCTGCGAACCATAGTGTGTTGCCGCCTTCTTGTAGCCATTGCGCCACGACGATCCATGTGTTGTCGAGGGTTGGATGGGGAATGATATTTGGGTTGAGAGCTGTAAAGTCTCCGAGTTTTATCTCAAAGAACTTCTTGTCTTTTGTATAAAGCGAGAAGATTTCATTGTGTGTTGCGCTTATATCCTTCGGGATGATGCCTTCTCCAAACTGATTGTTGTCTGGTTGGACCTCAGGTGTTGGTTGGGGACTTAACGTAGGTGCCGACTCCTCGATATCTAGAGGTTCTTGCTTGTCTTTGGAAGACTTCTTGAGCTGTGAAGGAATCCATTCTTGAACATGAGATGGAAAGCCAACGGGGCCAAGATAGAGTTTCAGAGCAAAGATAATGAGGAGACAGACCGGAACAAGAAAAAGAACCAGTTTTCGCGAGTCTCGGATGAGCATCTTGAAAATGGGAACCTGCAGATGCAACGCATACAGAAACAAGAGAATATCGGAACCAAGTATGACGAGGTCGAGGTGCCACTGAACGAAGTCTGTTCGATGGTTTGGACCATATCGCTATCTGCGCATTATAATTGACTATTCCTTATTTGAGCCACACTCCGAACAACGAGCAGGGGACATAAGATTGAGAGAGAATCCTTTAGCCGAGGAGAATTGAAGCTGAGATGGGATCAATTCACGTGGAGTTAATGGTAAGCTGTAATCGCGGGGAAAATATCACTGATCAACTGACTGAACCAATTACTGGCAATATCTCACTTGATCCATTAAGCTTTCAGCCAAGCAATCCCTCGAAATCAATGAGAGCTGCCTTGGCAGGTTGAAATTGTGACATTCGATTCGACGTCGACACAAGAATCATATGCATGCCGAGGCTTTTTCTTGTCTGGTCAGGTTTAGTTAGTCCTGCGGGGTTTGCCGCTAGTTAATGTTGGTCAACGGCGCATGTTCCTGAACAGGGGCAACTTTGGGAGGGTTGCAGATCTTAATTGGGGTAGAGTAGCTTTTTGCGGCGTAGGAGAGAGGTTGGGACTTTGGACGATTCGGACGAATACGAGTGAGAGAAACGTTGTACAGTTGCCGCTGTTTCTGGACTCAGAGCATGTGACATGATTCTGAGATTAGAGATCCAAATCAAGATGTCAAGATCGATTCCGTTCAGCTGTAAGTAAGCAGCTGAGCAGCCAGACACGGGAATGCAAGACCAAGGCACAAATGTTACCAAAATTAAGCTTGAATTGTTCTGCATCAACATCATTATACTATCCGTATTAAGCTCTCGCCTGCTTGCTAATTGGATCACCCAAAGCCTTCCTATAGAACCAAGCTGCAAACTTGACACTGGGTGTGTCAATAAACCGAGTAATCACATGAGCTAGTCCAAATGTCAAAGGAACGAGAATCAACTGAGGAACCAGAAACGCCATCTCGAACCCTTTAGGTCCAGAAGTTGACAAGGGCAGTTTGTTCGCCCAGTGAGGAATGTTCTTCATCATGTCTTCATTTTGCCATCCTGCTGCCATATATAATCTCTCGCCAACAACCCACAGAACGGGACCATGGACGAGATATAAGGCGAAGGAAATATGGCCGAGGTGTTGGCAAAACCTCGTCTCGAAGAAGCTCTTGAGCCAGAAGATTCGAGGGATAGAAGCTACCAGAAAGACAGCAGCGTAGAAGAGATAAAACCATTTGTAATCAAAAACAGCTTGCGGCTTGAACCACGAAAGGTAGTAGAAGCCTCTGTTTTTGGCGAGTTGCTCCAGATTTCGGTTCTGGGAAGGCACGCCGCCCAAAAAGAGGCTGAAGACCAATAAATGGTAAAAGATGAACTCTTTGACTGATTCAAGACGTGCCATCCATCGAGGAAGATCACCCTTGTTTGCAAGAAGATCCAAGTCGCATAGAAGCATACCGGACATGAACATGGCGTAGAAAGATCCGTCAGCGATGTACATGAAGTAAAAGATGAGTCCAAGCTCACACCACAGACGAGCGTTTTTCGAACATCGGGAGAACGCCATCTGAGCTGTGAAGACAACGACTGAGCCTTTGAACTCAATAGGTATAGACCACAAGTGTTTGTTGTATGTCAACCATGGCTCGCCACCTTCTTTGAAGACGAAACTGAAGTTCTTGAACTCGTAGTAAAACACCCACATCTCATCATACCAGCACTTCTGCTTGGTCATGATACGCGTCCACACACCAAAGATGTGTAGATATGTGATGTAGATGATCATAGTGAGGATGAGTGGGAGAAACAAGCGGATCCAACGACGGAAGAAGGATGAGGCAAGAACATCGCCTAGTTGGATGTACTCTCCCGCTTGGATTAGACTCATCGGCTTGAGCGATAGCACATAGCCCGAGATGACGAAAAAGGTTGACACGGCAAAATGGCCGCCTGAAAAGAAGTGCCGTATACCAGGGAATGTGGCAAAGTAGTATTTTCCCCCATACCCAAAAGCGTTCTCAAAGAGGCCATCTTGATCAACGATGCCGTGTGCCCATAACTGGTGATGGTGGATATAAACTAAGAGGGCTGCAAAACCACGAAGACCGTCCAAATAGGCTGTTGGGCGAAGGTTTTCCAATGGAGGTTTTGATCTTGCGCGTATGAAGTTTTGAACGCTGTTGAGGGCTTGTTTTATCTTGCTGCCTGTCTGGGCTGGTTTCCAGTATGAGGAATATGTTTTGCTGATGGACCATTCTGAAGAGGAGGAGTCGGATTTGACTTCATCCCAGTCATCGCTGTCAAGTAGACCACTTGTTCGAGGAGACATTGTGAGCAGCCACTGACACACTCAGCACTTGAATGAGAGAATTGATGGATGAAGTTGAAGATGTATGATTGATGGAAAGTAGTCTAGACAAGACACTCATTTGCAGTGCCGTATGCAACTTGAAGAAATGCAGAAGGTCAAAAGCCGAGGACAAGAATCAACAAGACAAGCATGTGGGAAAAAGTGACGAGGGGACGATGCATGTTGGAAGCAGGGTTCATGAGCCAAGACCCACGGACTTTTGAACTGCAGTATACAGCTAACCAGAACATGATGATCTTATTGCGGCATGAGGGAAATCTCGATGGAACTGTAGTACTGGCGTGATTATGAAAATGGGATAGGTCAAATTGGCAACCTTGGAAGGGTCCATAACTAGAATCCTACCGTAAAAGCATCCACTGAACACGGGAAAGTCGGCAGTAATTGAACCAATTCTCTCGATTCGTATTGGCTGGCAAGTCTGGGGTTGGCTAAAAGCTTGTTCGTGCCAGTGCGGGGATCAACTGGATCAAGTGCAGGGGGTTGATTATATCCGAGGGATCACAAGCCAAGATAACCGTTTTACTCTTGAGAAATGGGTGTGAAGGATATTCTTTAGTGACGTTTCTGCAAGGCACAACAAAAGCCACAGTAATTATGAGTTACCAATTAAAGCTTCTACACACGTGCACTTCTATCCTCACTGCAATCTCACCACCGCCATGTGCCGCATCACGAACCCTGTCCAGACTCAGTGGGTTCTCTCTTCCTTACGGCACAATAATCCTCGTAGTCTCTCGCCATTACCCCATACGTGCTCACCCTCCACGATGTGCAACGCCCGGAGGACATGCCCTTCTTGGAAGTTGTCAACTCGAGCTAACAGCCATCCCCTGCTGCGGTACATTTCGAGTCCAACAGTCACATCACATGGGAACAGTGACAAGCATTGATAAGGAAAGCTCTTCATATGCGGGAAAGGATTGGCTGTCTGGTCAGGGTTTCTAAGAAGTTGCGTTTAGCCAAGATTTGTTCTACTTCAGCTCCATTGTGCATTTTCTTCTCTCCTCAGAAGCTCTCTTGTGTGAATTACTTTCTGTCATGGAGAGTGGCTCTCGACGAAATATCCCATCGAGCCTACGTATTCCTCCTCCATCCACTGCCGAGTGGACTGTGACCAACAAATCCGATTCCGTTACCCATATCAAAATGGGTTCTCCTCTAGGCTCCCCACGGCTGGCAGCTTCAACCGCCAAGTTTCGAAACAGAGTCCCCGCCCAAATGCAGAGATGCCTTCCCCTCTACATCTGCTGCGTGCTCCTCCTCTTCATCATCCTCAACTTCGACATCTTCTACTCCATACCCAGCCCACTCACGGCCTTCCGAACAGAAAAAGCACCGCTCGTAACTAGAACGCGCTTCAGCACGTTTCCGCAGAAGATCTGGCAGACGTGGAAGGTCGATCCGCTCAACTTTGAGGATCGTGACTTGCTCACATCCAGGACATGGGTTAACAAGAACCCGGGTATGCGATACGAGGTTTTGACGGATGATAATGAGCTTGCGTTTGTGGAAGAGCATTTTGGGGCGGGAAGTCCGATAAATAGGCCTGATATTGTCAAGTTCTACAAGAGTATCAACTTGCATATCATCAAGGCTGATTTGTTGAGATATATGATTATGTATGCTCAGGGTGGTGTCTACGCGGATATCGATGTTGAGGCATTGAAGCCAGTGCATCGTTTTATTCCCGAGAGATATGATGAGAGAGACATTGACTTGATTGTTGGTGTCGAGATCGACCAGCCCGAGTTCAGCAATCATCCAATCCTGGGCAAGAAGTCAAAGTCCTTCTGCCAATGGACCATCATCGCCAAACCTCACCAGCCCGTCATGTTGCATCTTATCGAGCACATCATGGCTTGGTTAAAGGAAGAGTCGAAGAAGCAAAAAGTTGCTTTGGGAGACATCGAGCTCACCTTCGACCAAGTCATCAGCGGCACTGGTCCCTCAGCCTTCACCCACGCATTGCTAGAGCAAATGAGGCAGAACCACCGCGGTGGAAAGGTCACATGGGATCTCTTCCACAGCATTGACGAATCTAAAGTCGTCGGTCGAGTTCTTGTTCTCAATGTCGAAGCTTTCTGCGCAGGACAAGGTCACTCTGACTCTGGAAACCATGATTCCCGCGGTGCTTTGGTGAAGCATCACTACCACGCCTCCAATTGGCCAAGCAAGCATCCTCGCTATAGCCATCCAGCATACGGACAGGTTGAGGATTGCAATTGGAATGTCGAGTGTGTGAGATTATGGGATGAGAATGTTGCCGAGTACGAGAAGCTGTCTGAGGAAGAAAAGCAGGTCAAGATAGAGCAGGCGAAGAAGCCGGATATTGGAATCTGAACGAGATTATACACGAATACCATGTTTGATTTTGGAGTGCTCCGGTTGGCGTTTAGTTGTTTGATTTAGATATCCTGCAATAGTATGAGAACCATTATACTTGAGAAATGTGCATGGAAGTAACGTAGGTAATTGTGCATCAACCTTTTGACAGTCGTTTCACCAACTACCGAAACCCTATTCTCCCATGACGAATGCTTCTATCAAGAAGTCTATATAGAGACATCCGACCCTCAATTGCTTGATCATACTCCAAGTCAGAGGCCTGGCATCCCTGTCTTGGCGCCAATCCGCGGACCGCGGCCCCGGGAGGCGAACTTAAACCAATTCAGCCCGTTTAAATCCAACCCCGCGTCTCATGACATTCCACTGACATCCTCGGCCCATCTTTTCTGTCTTACATCTTTCACCATCTCCAAAATATCATGTCTTCAGAAACAAAGCCAGTTATTATCGTCGGCGCAGGTCTAGCTGGCCTCGTCGCAGCCTTTGAGCTTGCAGAGCGTAAAATCCCAGTTCTTCTCATCGACCAAGAAAATGAACAAAACCTCGGCGGCCAGGCCTTCTGGTCTCTTGGAGGTGTATTTATGGTCGATTCCTCATACCAAAGACGAATGGGAATCAAAGATTCTCGTGAGTTGGCAATGAGAGATTGGTTTGGATCCGCTAGGTTTGATCGTGAAGAAGAGGACCATTGGCCCAGGAAGTGGGCCAAGGCGTTCGTGGACTTTGCTACTGATGAAATGGAGGATTATGTTAAAGCGAGAGGACTAGGCTTTTTGTATAATGTTGGTTGGGCAGAAAGAGGAGATGGGAGTGCCACTGGACATGGAAATTCTGTTCCTAGATTCCATGTTAGCTGGGGAACGGGGCCGGAAGTTGTTAGGGTCTTCGCTGATCCTGTCAAAAAAGCTGCTGAGAAGGGCATCGTGACGTTCAAGTTCAGACACGCCGTTGATGAATTGATCGTCGATGATTCAGGCCGAGCTGTTGGAGTCAGAGGTCGCATTCTGGAAGATGATGATGCTGCCCGTGGTATCAAATCTTCACGCATCGAGAAAGACAAGTTTGAAATTTACGGCTCAGCAGTTGTCGTCTCTTCGGGTGGTATTGGAGGAAACGTCGAAGCTGTCAAGGAAGCATGGCCTGTCGACAGATTGGGTCCTAAAGTGCCAGAGACTTTCGTTGTTGGTGTCCCAGCACATGTTGACGGGCGCATGATCGGGATTTCAGAGGCTGCTGGTGCTCACGTTATCAACCGCGATCGCATGTGGCATTACACTGAGGGTCTTCAGAACTGGAATCCCATCTGGCCTGGCCATGGTATCCGAGTCCTCCCGGCTCCTTCATCTCTCTGGCTGGACGCAACTGGTAAACGACTACCACCTTTCCTTTACCCAGGATCAGATACCCTCGCAACACTCAAGTATATCTGCAGCACAGGCTACGACTACACCTGGTTCATCCTCGATCAAAGCATCATCGCTCGCGAGTTCGCCCTCTCAGGCTCAGAGCAGAATCCTGATGTCACAGGGAAGAGCATCTGGATGCTCCTGACCCGCGTCTTCGGCAAGAAGGGCACCGTTCCTGTTCAAAACTTCCAGAAGCACGGCAAAGACTTTGTCGTCCGCGATAATCTAGAAGACCTAGTCGCCGGAATGAACGAGCTCGCCAAAGCCCGCAACGGTCCCCTGCTCGAATTCGATGCCATCAAAGAGGTCGTCGAAGCAAGAGACAGCCAAATGGACAACCCTTACTCCAAAGACGGCCAAGCAATGCTCATCAACAACGCACGAACATACTGGCCCGACAGACGCAGCCGTGTTGCCCCACCTCATCGCCTTCTCGACAAGGCTCATGGACCTCTTATCGCAGTGCAGATGAATCTTCTGACGCGAAAGACACTTGGTGGTATTGAGACGAATCTGGACAGCAATGTTATGAGGGCCGATGGAACGCCGTTCCCTGGCTTGTATGCTGCTGGCGAGGTTGCGGGCTTTGGAGGAGGTGGTGTCCACGGATATAGTTCGCTTGAAGGGACGTTTGTGGGAGGATGCATTTTCTCTGGACGAGCTGCTGGTAGGGCTCTTGTTCGTGAGATTTTGGGTGAGGATAGTTCTCAAGCTGACGGGAAGCCGATCAATTCTCGACTTTAGATATCTGTAGTTTCTAGTTGGTGGTTCATTTGAATTTTTTGAGGCTATTTAGCGAAGGAATCAGGTAGTGATCCTCTGCATGGAAATCCAACGTCGTTATCAGATCTCACATGTTATCCTATCGTAGCCCCCAGCTGTGATTCGCAGGGCATACCCTTCTAATCAATTCGAACCAGACATCTTACACTAGCCACCCCCAGCATCCCATATTGCTGACTATATCTCACTCATGATGAGGCTATCAAATATCGAAATGCCGATCGATGTCCGTCTTGGACAGGTTCGACATGTTATTAATCATTTCTCTGGAATGTTGATGAAACTGTAGGGTAAAACTCGTCAAGCTTTCCTGATTCGTCCAACAAAACCGAGTCACTGGTCAAAAACGCCCTACCCGTAGCCAAGCCCCGGTAGTCGGCGCCTACCAACTCCACTGTAACGCGAACCCCTGACCCTGATTAAGGCTGACTGGAGGCTGTCGGCGCCTAAACCGCCCTTTTCAGCTTAGAGTCTTTAAAAGCCCTGTAGATCGCAAAGGCGGTAATTGATCTTTTACCGTCTTCCAACATTGTCGATGACCTGCTTGCCAGGTTTGCTTTATGGCAAAAGTCTGCTACGGATCTCGCCTTTTACTAAAAACTGAGACCTATGTAAGCACTTGTTCGTCTCCTCGCCAATAACCACAGCCACTATCTTAGCTTCAATTTCCCATCTCACTCATTAGTGTCCGTTCACCATTAGCCCGTCAGCCCGTGATATTAATAATTCTAAAGGATCCGAGCTAGCATAAGAAAGCGGGACTGATAGTCATATCTTGGCTGTTTCACTGGATGGATTATACCAGCTCAACGCTAACACACACTATGAAGAGGGATCTTCGCCTGCTGGGGCTGGGTGCTCTCGAGAGACGATGAAACAGTAGACTTGCTTCTTAGGCAGAGGAAGAGTGCACTTTTCTCTCTTCCTCCCCTTCTTCTTGTCCCGTCCTTTGAGCGTTGTTTTGAGTGATAAACAAACGGCCTCGAAGTCCAGCGCCCTGAAGATCGCGAATATCTTATCCCGTTAGATATACCTGCTATCTATACCGACACGATGCACGCTCTTCTACCGCTCACCGTTCTTCTGAGCACTTTCGCCACCCGAGCGGTTGCTGACACCAGCTTCATCACTCCAGGAGGATCTGGTACTTCGGGATGGAAGAACAACCCATCTTACGATGTCGACGAGAGCATGAACGTTGAATGGCAGACGGATCTGGATATGACGAATCTTCTTCTCTGGCAGGACTATCCTTCTGCTGGTGGCGGCACCCAGTTCTTCATGGGATTGAAAGGTACGCGCTTCGAGTGGCTGCTCGGTAAGGGTAAACTAACCTTCAATGTTTAGAAAACACGACATCGACAAGTTTCATCTGGCAGGTCAGCTTCAATGGCTTCTCAACTGAAGTCAAAGACGGCGAGGATGCTGTCTTCCACTTCTCCCTCTTCAAGTCCGGCACAAACGATATCGTTGCGAACAGCCAGACTTTCAACGTCACTGTCCCCAAAGACGTAACGACCACGAGCGCAGCCTCGACCGTCGCACCAAGCCCTACACCTACCGGCGACGCCACCGAAACCACAACGGATGCCTCTGCCGAGACAACAACAGACGCTGCTGCATCTGAAGATAAGGGCATCTCTACTGGTGCCGTCGTTGGTATTGCGGTCGGTGCGACATTGGGAGGTATCGCTGTCCTAGGTGGCATTGGATTCCTTCTTTGGCGACATTTCCGCAAGGGCGCCGGTTCTGCTGCCGCGGCTGGAGGTTACGCCCCTCCTGCCGAGATGTCTACTGGACCTCAACACCAACCTGTGCAAGAATATTACAAGACTCCTGATCAGCAAGCACCTGCTGAGATGGCTGGTCAGCCGTGGATTCATCCTCAGCAAGGTTACACTGGTGGTCTGCACGAGGCACCTTAAATGCTTGAAAGAAGGGCCTATTTAGTGGTGGGATGAGTTATGGTGTATATAGAAGGGGATCTTTTTGCATGTTGGATACCAAAGCACGGAGTTGATTGCATTCAGCTATATACTTTTCTTGTAGTTACCCATTTCTATCAATGATATAAATATTTAATTTTTCACCTGCTCAATGTGATTCGACCATGGTATCTGTAATCGGGAATCGGTGGAGAGACCACTTATTATCAATGCCCTGCTGGGATGTAGCTCATCCACGATCCTATTATGAGGCTTAGCACAGAAACAGGGCTGTGTTGGTTCAATGCGGGATATATAAATTAGGAAACCCGTAAGCTTTCTTACACCGACCAAGGACCGAGCTCAGTATACCCACTCTCCTTGCCCTTCCTCGATTTCACTCAAACCTTATCATTGCCAATCTTTCTTTATGTCCTCTTTGATTGTACATGATGTCGTCACCAGCAATATCGTAGGTAGATATATTCAGTAGTTGATAGTTTGACCTATTTGTTCCTTAAAATAGCTAATTCTTTGGAAAGCTATGCGTTGTGCAAATTATCTGCAGTTTACTTTCTTCTTGGCAACAGTGGACCAACTTCCGTCAACACCCAACCGCTGGTAGGCCAACTGTTCGACAGAAGTACCACCAAAAGACAGGGAAAATGATCCCGTATGCTCGTCAGCCCTGACTGAAGTAGCTATCTTATTTCCAGGTAGAGCAACAACTCTGTTCGTTCCTTCAAGAATATCAAAAGCCGCCCGGGGCTTGGACGTCACCTTGACGTGGAATTGGCAGCCTCCTTTATTCTTGGCGCTTCGAACGTCCATGTGAATAGGATACGTATTCTTAGGAAGAGGTTGATCAAGAGATGTGAGATCCATGCTCATAGCATCGTCCGAGCCAAAGTAGATACATGACTCATCGAGAGTCATGCGGGTCGTGTAAATGGATCGATCACGCTCAGTGCTATTTCGCGCATGATGCACGTAGAAGAGCTCTGAACCTGGTGGTGTCCTGAGGGTTACATCTTGGGCACCAACTTTCTTGTTATGCTTGGCGGGAGAAGCGACAATACTGCCGTGTCCAGTCGAATAGATGGGAATTTCAGCATCAGGCTTCTGCGAGAGGATAGGATTGTTTGCGGATTTGCGGAATGGTCCGAAGGGAGACTTGGACGTAGCAAAGCCTACACCGTAGTTGGAGGCTTCATAGTTGTTGGCGCTGTATGTAAGTAGATAAACAGGCTTGCCGTCCTTTCCAGGTCTGGTAATTGTAGTGCTGCCTTCAGCCCAGCGACGATCCTTCTTAGTGCCGTTGTTCTTCTCATAATCGTCGACATGGTAGTTCTCCCACTCTTGGGGGTCAGCTCCGTAGGAGATAACGGTTTTCCAACCATCCTTGCGCGGAGGCGAACCGATCTCGCCAGTGCCATTGTAAGAAGTGATGTTTTGGGGAAGAGGTGGTGCATCTTTGGCGTGGATGTCCTTTTGGGATGATATGATCTCGGGCATGGTAGAAGCTTCAGGATCGTCCCACCATCCTCGCTCCATTTCCACGATGATGATATTGGATTCTTCGATGTACTTGCCCAACTTCTTGTCCCAGTTCCAATTTCGATAAGCATTTCGAGAAAGGTACAGATAGACCTTTCCATCTTTGTCAAAGAAGATGTTAACGTCGATGGTGGGGATGTAAGTACCCTTGGGTGCTGTTTCACCCTCCTCGAGACTCTGTGGGGGACGCATCTGCTTCTCATCCATGATGAGATTGACATCATGATAGTCCGGATCGAATGGATAATACTCGATTGGCTTTGGCTGGATCTCCCGGAATGGGCCCGTTGGTGATTTTGAAACCGCAACACCAATCTTACTCGGCTCCTCAAACTTCTCGTACCGGAAGTAATCCTTGGCCAAATCCTCCGTCAACCGTCCAGCAAAGAAGAAAAAGTACCACCCAGTCTTCTCATTGTAATAAGTCTCAGGAGCCCAGTACCAATCGCGTGCCCAACAAGCTTGGCCGCCTTCAATGCGGTTCATGTCATCATCGTAGCATGCTTTTAGGACGCCGCCAGGATGCTTGTGCCATGTTGACAGGTCGGGACTGCTATAGATGGCGAAGAGACTTCCTGGATCTGCGCCTTCGGTTGAGTAGGCAAAGTATTGGCCTGTTTTAGAGTCGTAAATCACATGAGGGTCTGCGCCAGGGTGGTTGGCTGAGTTGTGAAATTGGGGAGGTTTGGGATGGTTTGCGGCCAGTGATGATGCGCTGAGACAGGCAATGCCTACGAGGACACTGAGGAGCTGCATTTTGACAGCAATCAAAGCAAACCCTTTAGAAAAGGGAAAAAGAGAGAAGAGAAGACAGTGTTTATTGCCGATGAATTTTTAAACTATTTTATGATTGACGACATTCTTATTTCCCCTCATTAGACTAACCGCGCCAGTGAACGGAGGAGTGAGATCCTTGACTTTCTCGGTGTAACATAAAGCGAGGTCAAAACTACAACAATCTGAAGTTATCTCCAACCTCCCAATTGCACGTTAGATGTGATTGTTAACCGTTGAAGAGCCTCAATTAAAGATGATCATCATTGCAGCCATAAAAGCCTTTTTTTCGGCCCCAAACACCAGGTTGATCGAGCAATGGATCCACATTCCAGCCGCATCTCAAGCATGACGTTGATCTTCCCCACATTGGAGTTGGAATAGCCTAAATCGTTCCCCCTGCGCAGCCAAGATTACCGTTCTTTCACGAGTCAAGTTTCCTTGGAAGTTAAATATCTATATTCCAATATAGGCAAGGTAACGTCGTATTGTCAAAATGGCTCGTTAGTAATACTTCGGGATTATTTCTACCGTTATCCCTCGTGGCTGTTGCCCAGCCGAGGTCGGTTGGAACTCAAACTATCACATTCCGATCATCAGAGATTCTCAGGATAAAAGGACTTGTTTGCTCGGATGACCGGGGAACCGACTGAAATCTATCAAGGTTAAGCTGACAGGTTTTCTAAAAAGTTGAAAGATCTGCTATGATTCTACTCTGCCTTTTCGATGCGTAAAGGTGACCTCGTACACGAGCTTGATGACCCATGAATTATTCTGAACGAACTCGTCAACAGTCTTTAGTTTCTGGAGCAAAGTCTTAGATGCTTTCGGCTACGAGATCCAACTGACTCACTTGCTACCAGGTTTTCAGCAATAGGATCTTGAATGTCTTGGCCACCAAGCAAACAACCATCCTATTCTTAGCAGCCAAGATGGCAAACTCTGAATCTTCCGACAAACCCTCTTTCAACACGATCCTTGGAATGAAGAATTGGAAGTTTTCAACGCATAGCTATAATCTCAGCCGCAGTTCAAACCTACCGCGTAAATGTATTCGTCACCCGATCAACCACCCAGTGTCCATACTCTATAGTACGTACCTGCAGTACCGCGGGCCCTTCCGCATTCCAAACATGAGCTTGTCATCGTAAGTGAGTCAATGAACTGACGAGATGCTTGCGTGCTGAACACTCAATGGTGAAACCAAACGTCTTAACGAAAACGAATAACGAATAAAACGACTCTAGGACCTGCGTGTCTCAACCTTGGCAGCTTGCAGCTGGTATGGATCTACAAAACTATATCGAACCTATCACTACAAAAGAGTCCGCATTAGGTATCGTGTCAGCTATCGTTCGCAAACCTTCAACTTCCAAGACCAAAACCTGATTCGTCAGTGATACGCTTCCGGGTACTAGCTGACGTGTTACAGAGTCTTATTGGACCGTTCCTGCGTCCTTTCTTGGCTTCTTCTGAGTGTAATGCAGTATCTGCCTTGTATCAGCCGCCCGAAACCAACATTGCTTACTTTTCTATGATGCCTTGTCTGCAGCAAGCGGTTGAGCTGAGTCGTATGATCTTGAGGGAGAACCAGGAAATCATCTCATTATTATGAATAGGGGGTGTGTGTTGATAGAAGGAGAATTATAAAGGAAGCTGAGATAACTTGTGAAATTTGAAGAAGCACAACTCAATTCGAGTAAAAACGAAGAAAACAAAATGAGTTCATTTCAGATCTTGTCCCTTCTTGCAGCTGCTACTTCCGTTGTAGCTCTCGCTGGAACCCCCAATGTCTACGCTGGAACTCGTCGAGGTTCTTGCTACGGTGAAGCTTCGGCCGATGACACTTGCTGCTACCTCTCTCCAGCCAGACTGTTGCAGACGCAAGTCTGGGATACACGACCAGTTTCTGGGCCTTTTGGTAAGTTTAGACCCCAACCGCACGAAACGTCCACGACTAACAATGGATGTCTAGATTCATGGACCATTCATGGCCTCTGGCCCATCCATAACAATGGTTCCATCCCAACCGATTGCGATACCAACCGCACATACACAAACATCACACAGATTATGTATCACGCTGGAGCCGAAAGCACCATTGATGAGATGAACAAGATCTGGGAGTCTGCTGACGGCGATAAAGAGGACCTCTGGCAAGACCAATGGGTCTCCCACGGCACATGCTTCAGCAGCCTCAACCGCGAATGCTACGGCCGCCACTACGAAGAAGCCGAAGAGGCAGTTCCCTATTTCCAAAAAGCCGTTTCAATCTTCAAACGTCTCCCAACCTATGACTGGCTGCGCGACGCTGGCATCATTCCTTCTTATTCCATGTTCTACCACCTCTCCGATATCCAAGCTGCGCTGGAGCAACGGCATGGTTCTCGCGTATCACTTCGCTGCGCAGGACAACGACTTCATCAAATTGGGTATCACTTCAATGTTACGGGCACACTTCAGGATGGTTACTTTACTGATTCGGGTGCTATTGGCGATTGGGACGATTGTCCCGAGCTGGTGCTGTATGAGCCCAAAGGAGAGACCAAGAAGGCCATTTTTAAGTTTGAGACGTTTCATCCGCATACCGCTACGGATGTGGAGGATTTGTAGGATGGCTTGGGGAGGGAGTTAAGTTTAGAATAGTTTAGCTTAGTTTATAACCTTTTAATAAATTCCATCTTATCACATACCTGACTTTGAATTCCCATAGTGATGGCTGATCATGATTGGATATACAAGTCGCCCGGTTCTGATGCCCACTACCCGCGACCTAAAGTTTCCGGATCCGCGTAAACAGGTCTCGGATATAACGTTGCGGAAGTTGGAGGTGTTAAAGAGATAAGATAATCTAATCGAGTCAAGAAAGCTCAGTAGTAAATGGCAGCTCACCAGCATACCCCCATCTTAACCAAAACACTATGCACCATGACAATGCTGAACCACCTGTACTCAGCTAATTCACAATACACGTATAGACCACAATCCACCAGTCGGAACATTTGTCAACCATTCGTTTCATGAACAAAGCTTACGAGGCCACAAACATCCTTGCACGCAAAATACGACACTCGAGCCAAAGCTCGAGCCACTATCCCTGCTTGAATTATCCAAGGAGTAAGCGCTCCACTGCAAGAATCATGGGAAACTCTCCACTCTGACGAGTTTCGGAAACATTGCTTCAATTTCCTTGAAACAAAGGGATTCGTGTAGCTGGGTATAAAGACTGGGGGATCTTCGCAGCTAAGACTTCTTCCCCTATAATATTGTTATAAGCCTCTTGCCAAGATTTTAGTGCTCTATCTCGACAAATTCAGAATGTATCCTTTCGCTACTTTCACTTCTCTCCTCGCCATTGCTGGCGCTGTCAGTGCTACTCTTGAGCCTGCAAAGAGCAACACCAAGGGCCAATACCCCAAGAGCCCAGCATGCTCCCGTAAGACATCTACCATACAATGATTAACTAAGCTAACCAGAGTGACACAGCTTCCAAGACCTCCAACGCCATCCAGGCCGCGGAGTGCGCCTACAACACACGTGTCTCTGGCAAGCAGACCTTTGCTATTTTCAAAGTTGATCACCAGTATAACCAAAACAACGGTGCTCCCTACGGCACCTGTGAGGCTTATGAGTGTGATGCTCCTGCTACTGGAGACATGACTGCCGATGAGGACTACTGGACTTTCTTCTGGAAGTAAGTGACTTGCTGGTTTCCTTTTTCTCTCTTCCGTATGTTCACTGCTAACGTTCTTTAGCAACAATGGCGAGTCTTCTGGTGTTGGTACTACTTGCATCAAGGATCCCAACGATGGCACTTGCGGTTGCGAGAACTCAGATGGTACTTTTATTCCTGGTGGAAAGAACTGTGTTTAAGGGATGGCGAACGTCAGACATGCTTCTTGGATATAAACTTCTTTTACGTACATAACAGAGCTGTGTAGCATGGCATAAACTCAGCGCATCAACTTGGTTTATGCTGTGCCTCTCTTGCAATGAGATCTTTGCCCACAGACTTGACCGTCTCCAGATAATTTGCCAAGCACCTAATTTGCCAACCAGGAACCAAAGCCCAATACATCATCGAGCTCACCTACCATGCTACCATTATTGGAGTCGTTCTTTCTCTCAGAGTCATGAGCCAGGAAATATCGGCAACTCTAAACTCAATCCTTTGACTCGGACTTTCGTAGCGTAAAAGGCCTATATCCAATGTCTGGGAGTCATCTTCAATTTGCCTTCAGCAATGTTTCAAATTAAGAATAGGTGGAAGGTTACTGATGATATCTCATTGGTAAAGCCATATCGCTAATTTTCGGTAATAAATCCGAAAAGTCTTAGTGCTACTCCTCATGAGAAGATTAAAGGAGGCCGACTGCAGCAGGTAAGCTGCTAGGCTCCTTCACCCGCGATCGACAAGGCGATATGGATGCCCGTTTGAGACATTCTAACTTGATAGCGGCGTGGCAATCTTGAGCCCAACGTTCACCAAAACTCTGCGTGTAAGAACCCTACAAAAACCTGTCGTTGCGCCTCCTGGACTAGTAGCAGCCAGGATAGCGTCGTTTCATCGGTAGTCGACTGCACTGGCTCCGCTAAGGCGTCGATCATGCACCTCAAATTTGCGGGGAAGTGAAGGTCTCGAACAAGATTGGATAAATGGTCTGTTGGGCTGATTCTGTTGATAAGATTGGGATCAAGAACATCAAATCTCGGGCAGGGGGAGATGACGAAGTGAGGCTGTTTTTATGGGCAGGCAGGCAGGATAAGACGGCACATGTATCCTCTCGTCCATGTCTCTGATCCTGATTCACATTTGGAATATGATAGAAATGATCCTCGTAAGGCTTGGCCTAGACTAATGAATTCAAGCCGCTTGGCCTGTGCCACCTGTCATGGTGGATTTAAGATGCACCAAATGCCAAGTTGGACCAGGTGACAAGGTCCCATGAAGGTCAAGTCATCTTGGGATCGTCACTAGTCTCAGTTCTGGATGCCTCAGGGGAATCCACTCAATATGGAGACATTACTCACGGCACGAGCCGCACCCAAATTGGGACGAATTAGTGGACGAGACCTACCGAGTCAGCTTTATCAGGATGAGTATGCAGTACGCAGAGATGATTTGGTGGTGAAGAAGCAAGGAGATGTGTGTTGATCTCAATGAAGTGCAGCTCAGTGTTCTGCTATACCGAGGAGAAGCGAATTGTGGCTTGAGACCTACATGAGCCAACAGGGAGGCCATGGCGGTCCATTGCCGACAGCGGCCCGACAATCATTGGAGACTCAGACACCAATACAGTAATCTCAAGCTCGTCTTGAATCGTGACAGAAGAAATGCCAGCTAATTGAGGTTTTCTTTTGCTTTAGAGTCTTGTGATAGATACAAAGCGGTGAGGAAAGAAAGAGGTCACCCATAAAAGCCTTCTAGAAGACCACCGCGGAATATCACCTCCAAAGTTTCTGTGCCCAAACAAATCAGGAAACACCAAAATGAAATGCACAACACTCTCTAAACATTGGGCTGAAATCGCAAATGTCACTCCAAACTCTCCTTGACTCAGTCGCAAAGCCTCAGCCTCACCAGTGCCAAGACAGTTGGTCACCCAATGCGAGTTACCACCGTGTAGATCGAGAGGCCACAGACCGGGATCAATTGGCCCCCTCGCATTGTCTAGTGGTGCAGATCTCATGTGATTGATCAATTGGGATAGAAATTGCAAAGGAAAAAGAAACTCTGCTAGGGGTACGTACTGTAACTGACTGTTGGTTCTGTAACGGTTGATAGGCGGCACTTGATAAGGGTTGCCGGCGCGGGGAAAGGGGCCCGAGGTGCAGGGAATCTAGGTTTGGTGATGCTCAGTATCTATACTTTTTATAGACATCGATATTATATCATTTAAAAGTACACTATACCTTGACCTGTACAATGATGCAGCAGGCATAAGGAGGCTTGTAGATTACTTCCAATCATCAGCCCTGCGCTACATCTCCAGTCCGCGCGTGCCATACAGTAAAAACAGTATAGAGAATCTGCAATCCGAGACCCCAACACGTTGCTTTTTTACCCCCCAGAACCATGACGCCGTGTTTTTTTAATTGTTAGATCAATCCCTCGGTAGTAATTCCCATCCTTTTCTTATGCACCTCCCACCCCAAAACATGGAAAACATCTTCCGAGGTTCCTTACCCAAATGTTAACACAAAAGCTCACGACATGTCGGCATGATAACCCTCCTTTCTCCCCACTACAAAGCTCAGGAGGTTACCAGGGGTGATCTGGTCATCGCCTCTACAGCTCTGGGTTTTACCATCGGCTTTGGATGGCTTACCGTCTGGAAGGCCTGCAGGCAGTCGTTCCATATATATCAGCGCCATGGGAGGCGCGTGTTTAAAAATGGGTATATAATCATGGTCTGGCTGGAGTTGTTGGTCTGTACGGTATTTGCGGTCATTTGTATGTTGCATTTACTCGATGTTATACCCCCAAGGTGAGTCTTTCTTCCACGAGCACCAGATTCATGCTGACTCCTGCTTCTAGCTTTGCTTTCTATTTCGCTATTCGTAAGTAACATGCCTACTCAGTATAGGATATCGCTAACTTCTCACAGTCACTACATGGGCTCTTCAGGTACGGATACCACCGCCAGATTTCGAACTTCTCCATTAACTGTCTCAGGTCCAATTTCTCCTCCAAATCATCGTCAATCGCTGTGGAATCCTCCTCACCCACTCGAAAAGAGCCTACCACCTAAAGATCATCGTGGGAGTCCTCATAACCGCCGTTAATATTTCCGTCTATTGCATCTGGATTCCAGCGCGTCTTCAAATATCAGACCGATACGTCCACATCAACGAGTGGTGGGACCGATGCGAGAAAGTCATCTATCTCATCGTCGATGCGTGCTTGAACATTTATTTCATACACATTGTCCGGGTCAATCTTATTATACATGGGTTGACAAAGTACAAGAGGTTGACACATTTTAATATGTTTATTATTGGGTTTTCACTGAGCATGGATGTTCTTATCATTGCTATGATGAGTTTGAGAAATACCTTTGTGTAGGGCATCATCTATCCATCATCTCACTATGAAGCATACTGACTTTCGACAGATATATGCAATTTCACCCCCTGGCATATATCGTAAAACTACACATCGAAATGTCTATGGCCGACCTTATCGGCAAGATCGCCCGCGATAAACATTGCGGTATCATAGCAGATGGCACTTTCAGCAGCACGGTCAGCGATGGGATATATCATCTGGAACACCGACGCACTGAAGATAGCCAGACGATACTGACTGGACACGAAGAACACGGCAGCATATCGAAGCCCAGACGAATGTTGCGATCGTATTCGAGACGTGCTGGAGAATTCGAAAGGGAGTTCACAGAACCTTAACCCTGGATTTATAAAACTTCATTTCTAATAAAAAACATTGCAAAGTTATGAAAAGCTCTATCCTAGCCATCGTCATAGTTGGAGCCTCCGTTGTCTTGCAGTTGCCGAGTATATATCAAACTATCACGGAAGCATTGAAATCATAGTGCTTATGGAGACCTGCTCGGACTCCAAGCCCCGATTAGATCTTTGGAGTGCTCTACGGCTGCTTATCTGGAATATACTGTCAGACGTACAGTTTAAGATATAAGATCATGGATAGTTTCAGACTCTTTCTCTGTTGGTCGGCTTGGATGGTCTATCTGGGAGGCAAAAAGATCATCAGATGCCTGTCAGTCAGACTGGCAAAAGAAGGGCCTGACCGGGGATTGAACCCGGGACCTCTCGCAAACTTTAGTCCTCCTGTGAGAACTGAGATGTCACTCCCGAAGCAAGAATCATACCGCTAGACCATCAGGCCAGATACTAGATCCTAAAGGTATTAGTGCGGCCAAAACCAACATACTATATACTTTTCGCTGGCGAATATCGAGCGTGTCACTCTGCCCTAGGCCTTTATCGATGCAATGCCCTCATCTTGATCTCATCGATAGTTCAAACAGCTCATATCACAGTCTAGGCGCCATGCTGAGTTCTAAGGATAGCTACAAGTGAACGTTGAAAAACAGCCACTGTGAATATCAACATGTTGCCGGATATAAACTCTGAGCATGCTATATACAACTATTATCACGGGCTCGTTCTGCAATGCCCTCCACAAAACCACCCCTTGGGAGAGAGTTGGCAATATTCCTATACTCTGTTCCCTTCACTCAATCCTTCTTCTTACTAATCCTGGGTAAGCACAACCATAAGCCCAACAGCGCACTCAAGAACGCAAGGATGATAGGTTGAAGAGTCTTGACACCCTTGGCTTGAGCAATAGCACCGACAGCAAAAGGCAGGATCGCCGCTCCACTACCTCCAAAAGCGGCGGTAAATCCAATAGTACTAACATGCAAGTGCTTCGGGAGCATCTTGGTAGTAGCAACCACAACAGCGGGGAACAAGGGTCCCAAGAAGAAACCCTGGAAAGCTACCGTGATGGCAGAAACGTAGAAGCTTGGTACCAGCCAGAATATCAACTGCATAGCCATAGCTGCGGGCAGATACAAAGACACCGCAACCTTGACACCAAGTCGCGGCGTGACGAAGCCCAAGATGGCTCGACCAACTGCGAGACCTAGCCAAAAGCCCATGGAAGTCATACCTGCTGGGTAATTCTCAGCCTTTCGTACGCGGATCATAAATTGGACGATCCAGCCACCGACGGAAACCTCGACGCCGACGTAACACAGAAGGAATGCGGCGCAAAGCCAGGTCACACGAGCGAAGGGAAGTTTGAAGAGAGCTTCTTTCATGCCCTGGCTGTCTTCGTTACTTGCGTCCATGGTCTGGCGGTAGACCTCTGGGCCATTTGCCCAGAAAGCCCAGGAACAAGTGACGAGCTCAATAGCGGCCAGGCCGAGCTATTGTAGTTAGCTGTCAGCTCATAGATAATAAGATTCAGCTTACCATAACATAGTAAAAGGTATACCAGGGCAGGCCAGCCTTGGCTATCATATTCGTAGCAATCAAAGGACTAATGACACCACCAACGCCATAGAAAGCATGCAGGAAGCCGAGCGTCTCGTTGGCTTTGTCTAGGTTACCTACCCAGGCATTCCAAGCTGCATCGCCAATCCCGTTGCCAAACCCAGCAAGTGCATATGCAAGAACTAGGACAGGGTATGGAGGGTGGATGGCGATGATGATGTATGCAATAATATGACATAGACCGCAGGTAATGCCAATTCCTCGCTGACCAATTCGTCTGTGCAGTGTATTATTGAGGACAGCTGCGAAGATGTATCCGACAAAAGGAGATAGGAAAACGAGAGATACTACGATGTAGCTCAGGTTATAGTACTCCTCCAGCTGATCAATTGTTAGCGCATGTGCATATCAGTGAGGTAGCGGGCACATACATATGGGATCAAAGCCTGAGATAATGTTAGCTAATGAGAGAACAAATCTTACAGAATGACTTACACCATAGGCAGCATCATTAGCACCCGACGTCAAAAGACTCCAAAACGTGGCACCAGTCTTGAACATATTCTCACGGGGATACTTCCAGCTCTCAGCAATCTCCACTGGAGCTGTCTGTGCCGTCATACTCTCCAAGCCATTACCGCTACCATCTGAGAAATCTCCATTAGGGTGAGAACCAAGCCTCCGGGATTCATCAAAGAATTCTGAGCCTCTAGACTCCCGAACAGCGGCGACAGGGGGCTCATTGATTGCGCGAGACGTCAGCTCATACGAGCCAATGGTGGCTGTAGAGGATGCAGTCATAGTGGAGGATGCGACGTGACGAATGCTGACAAGACTGCGTCAGGAACGGAAGCTCTGTATAAAATTAGGTGTGACAGTTTTTAAACAGAAACATGAGAACAAAGAAGCTGAAACTAAAACTTTGAGAAACAGGAAACATGCAGCTTTTTAGAAGTTGGAAAGAATTGACGAAATGCTGTGGATCTATGGTCCCAGTCCGGATAATCATTCAGCACGAACGCTTGATCGACAGAATACGCGGAGAAGTTGCGAGTATAACCAGAAATGGAATAGATACACAGGAACAGCGACGGTTCAACGGTCCGTCATGGAAGAGCTTCGGTTAGACTGACTACCTAGAAAATCATGACAATTAATTTCTCCATTGCTCGGTTTCGGTCGAATTACCATGTCGTTCGTATATGTAGCCCAGCAAGGTAGGTCCGGTCCGTACGGAGCTGAGCACAAAGAGTCAGCACCTCATCCTTCTCCTCTCACATGCATATGTAGCATCCATAGCAACCATCATCATATAAGCGGCATCAGCAGTGCATCGGTATCGACATCGGCTGTGGCCAAGCTTTTACGACGCGTGGTAATTTAGGTACAAGAGGCGGAGGCAGGGGGGCTTAGTCTTAGGCTTAGATCCACTGTCCGTCACATCACAGTCAGCATGGACAAAACAGAATACCAGTAAGAAAGAGTCCAGACCTCCGTTGGCGTCTGGCTATTGGACTCTGTGGCTTTTTGCGTTCCCTCAGCTGCTTGGCCCACAATCCAATCACCATGATGCCAGCCCTACAGGAACCCGCGATGCTACCCAGAACCACAACTCAGCCCAGACGGTGCGATTGCAGATATGGGTTTAGTGCTGAATCTTTGCAAGGCTGATGCCGACGGGTAAATCTCTGAAGGTTCAACAAGGGTCTTTTTTTTTTTTCCTTTTCTTC